TCAGGTCCCTCAACCGCCAGCCACGTGTATCTGAAGTGAATCCTAGGCCCTACCCTAAGCCGAACCCTACACTCTAAACCGCCAGAAAAGAGCTCAGTAACCTACATGGTCTTGGTCTGTAGAAACCCAAATAAATCCTGCACAAAAACCCTGGTTAGCAAGTTTAAATCTCTGTGAAGCCTGTATAAGCCCTCTGTCACCCATAACAAGCGCAATACAATCGATATCAACCCCATGGCAGGCCCCAAATCCTTAAACTCTACACAATCCTAAACCCTGGACTCTATACCAGTCCTACGCCCTAAACCCCATAATTACAGATCCTAAACCCGGGTGGCGGAGGCCTCCGTGTTCGTGAGTTTCTGCGTCAGCTTGTGCTGAAGATCTCCGATGCTGCGGAACTGCTGCGCCTGCCCAAATATGATAGTGGTTCACATTCGTGTTTAGGTTTGGCAGTTTTAGGGGATTAGTATTGACAGGATTATGGTTCATGTGCCTAGTCAGATTTTGCTCAAGGGATTCCCTGAATTAAGGGGTCCATGTACACTTTGCGTTTAGGGCTTCAGCGGCCGATGTCCTTGCCTCGCATAAACCTAAAACCGCGAAGCCTAAACGCAACAATCCTAAGCCCTAAACCAAAACCCCAAACCCTCACCTGCATCGCCAAAACAACGCTTCCAGCGACTCCCATAGCCGTATATGTGGGAGTTTCAGAAACCAGGAATACCTTATTTGGGGTCCTTTATAATAAGGATCATACGATTCAGGGTACTATATTAGGGTCCCCTATTTTCGGAAACTCCCATGTAAGACAAGTCTTGCGATCATGACCTTTATGTACAATCCTTTACTACTATTTGCTTAAGAACCGCCAAAAATTTGAAAACATATTCCTTATGGGGGTAATATAGGGATTATTTTTTTTATTTTTTGGTGTTTCTTAAGCAAATAGTAGTTTACTTAAGCAGGCTCCTGATTGCATGTCCTGTGGGGGCGTCTGAACCCTACTTGAACCTCCAACCCCCTAAACCGTTAAGGCACCACCCCCCCACAACACCGCCCCTCCATACAGAAAGCTTATTAGCCCTAATCTCCCACAGAAAGCTTAGCCCTAATCTCCCACCTGCCCAAAGTAAGCCCCAATCCCGAACAATAAACCCTAAACCCTGGTGATCCCCAACCCAGAGACTCCAATATCCCTTAATTAAGGAAGGTTCCTTAAATTATAGTAGGATCCCTAATATGATTTAAGGAATATTCCTTAATTAAGGGATATTGGAGTCTTTGGGATCTCTCAACCCTAAACCCTATTAGTCCCTTAAAGGAACCCCTAAGGATCCCTTTAAAGGAACCCCTAAGGGTACTACTGGGCATCTTAGCCAACAATCACCGGGGAATTGCTAACCCACGGCCTGCTCCTCCAGTTGCTGAGTCATCTGTGCCTCCATGAAATCCACCTCTGCCAAGATGGGAGTTTCCGAAAATAGGGGGTACCCTATTTTGGGATCCTTATAATGAGGATCCTACTATTTAGGGTACTATATTAGGGTCCCCTGTTTTCAGAAACTCTCAGATCATGGGTTTCGGAGGGTTTCTAGGGCTCAGGGCTTGGAACGGTGTGGAGTTTTGTAGGTCATGGGGTGTAAGTTTACAAGGCTTTCTGTCTGCAGAATTTTACCCTAAGGCTCCTAGGCCCTCAAACTGACAGGAAATTGAGAACCCTGGGATTGGCCCTGTTTAGGATAATCCTATAGAGCCTTGACCCCAAACCCTAAACCCGTAAACCCTGAAACCCTACCCTAAGGGTCCAAGTGCCCAAATCAAGGTCCAACAACCATTCAGAGTATGGATTTTGGGACCTAAAACCCTACTATTTGGGTACTTGGACTCTCTGGGCTAAATCCTAAAGCCTTGAGGACTAAGACCAGTTTCAGCGCTCAGGGCGCTAGTGCTTAGGGTTGGTTTTTATCATTTTTCTGCTATCGGCCCTTGAGGATTTGCTATATTAACTTATAGTTTAGGGCTTTGAGTTTATAGGATGTATTTGTACATGTATACAAGATGTATATAATTTTTTCTATTTAAAAAGACAGAAAGATAGATACATAGACAGTGCGCAGGGTCCACAGATGATTTTGAAAGACCAAGGTTTTCAGGATGTCGCGGGTTCAGGCTGTTGGCTTTCAGGCTCTAGTGTTCACGATCTCTCGTATTCCGAAATTCGGTCTATCGTTTGGGGGTTGGGGTGTCGGGTTCATGGGTTCAGGGTTTAGGGGTTTAGGGCTTAGGGGTTTAGGGGTTTAGGGGTTTAGGGGTTTGTTCGGGGTTTAGGGGTTCACGGATTAGGGATTTAGGGTTACTGTAGTGGCCATGGCAAGCATTCACCTTACCCCATCGATCCTTGGACATGTTGCTGCCGCTGTTGATTTTGCACCACGTCTGCACGATTGGCTCCAGCATCGGGTGTTTTGTCGTTGCCGGGAGGAGCCATCCCCATCCCCACCGTGCTGGCTGCTTCCTCTGCCTTTGGCTCCTCTGACACTGCAATCTCTGTCTTCTCCGACACCTGTGGCTCAACCAAAGCAGCAAGGCCGAGATCAGCATCAGCTTCCATGCCGGAAAGCGGGAGCATGAGTGGGGATCCTGTGGCTGCTTAGGCCGGAAACTTCGTGCCGACCTTTGGCGGCTCGGCCGCAAAGACACCCAAGCCAGCTTCACCAGAGCCACTGACCTGCAGATTGTGTTTCTTCATGTCCGCACCGTTTTGCCTGGAAAATTGTGCAACCCCACGACCATATGTCCACACCTGGGCAGTAAGCCTCGTACCTGAGTTCCTCTAGACAGAGCCTTGAGACCTTCGCTGCCTGACCCTGAATCGTAAACCCTAAGCCGATAATCCCTGTAGTTCGAAACCCTTACCTGCTACCTTCAAATTGAGGGGTCATAACCTGCTATTTTGTAGGGTTTGGGGACACAGGTAACTGCTAAACCCTATAAGATCCTATAGCCCTAAACCCTAGAGGATGAAACTTCTTCGCTCGAAAGTTCTACCCTATGCGGCGGGGAAGACAAGAGACGGCTCAGGGTTGAGGTTGAGAGGTTTGGGGTTTAGGGTTAAGGGTTCAGGGGGACCTTAGTATTAGTAATTTCGCATAATTGAGCACAGCTGCGGGGTATATTGTACATATGTTGAGGAACCAGCAACAGTTTTTCTAATTTTGCCGACCCCAAACCCTCAACCCGAAACCCATAGAACCGCCGTTTCCTAAACCCTAAACCCTAGAGGGTAGAAGAAAAGGCAGTAGTAGCACAAAACAACCGTGCCTTTGACTCCAGGGCCGTCATCTTTGAAAGCTTCGCCTGATGAGGCTTGGGCTCCTCTTAGGGTTTAGGGTTCTGGGTTCGTTGAAGGGTTACTGTGGTGTTTGGGGATTTGGCGGTTTAGTTGAAGGGTGTCCTGAGGGTTCTTTTGAAGACGGAGTTTACGGTTTTAAAGTTTAGCGTTCTTCAAGGCGCTCTTCTAGAAACAGTGTAGGGCTTTGGGGTCAGAGTTTTGGGGATAGGGGGTTTAGGTTTTGGGGCTTTATCTCTTGGGGGTTGGAGGCCCTTTAGGGCTGTGGGCTGTAAGGTGACTTCTCTGATTTCGGGTCTTCTTGCCTTGAAAGGCGGTGCGCTGAGATCCTGCCAGCGCACAGTTCACACAATTTGTTGCTCGTTGCATTGCTGTCTTGAACTCGACAGCTACACTAAAACTTGTGAAGTGAGACGGTTAATTATACAAAACCACCTTTGGGCAAGGTCTTGAACTTGCAGTCTGTTGCTGCCGCTCTAGCAAACCGATTCATTGTCCCGTTTCTCAGCCTCCTTCTATCTCCTCCTTGCTCCGAAAGTTGATTTCGGAGCAAGAAGCGCTAGCTGGATAGAACAACGGAATTACACGGTCATCCTGCAATCCGGAGTTCCTCCCATGTGCTCATACACTTCTTCACCGTATCCGTTGATCCCGGTTTGGTCTTCGTGTTCGTGATGACTATAAGGTACTCTTGAATCGGCAATTGCAAATCCAGAACCAGCCAGCAAAGATTTACATCGAACCTCCCGACATGCAGTGGAGCCAAAGAGTCCTGCTGTGTTGCATGGGATAACCGCATAACCCCTGAAACGAGAGTTTCGGGTTTAGGGATATAAATCCTCCACTACACATAGTAAGGTCCTGTAGTCTAGGGTCATTCAGGTAATGCAGGATGTATATCAGCACCCCTAGTGTTTTGTCGGGGACCTGTGGGAGTTGGTGGAACCTCTGGGCGGCATCGAAGACTTACCAATTCAGTGTCAAACATCAATGGAAACTCGAGCATAGCATTGCCCAGTTGCACAGTTCTCGGTTAAGGGTCATGTGATGTAGAGATTGCCGTCAAGCACTCGCTTCAACGCAGTAGACCGTTGTTCGCACGGCAACGCAAACGCATGCAGTTGTGTAGGCATGGTTGTGTATACATACACGAGCGTATAATGTAAGCAGTTCGCGATCTGTAAGCCTAAGATTAACCGAAAGCACTCCAAAGCCTCCACAGAACCTCAAACGTTTGACTCCTCCGTGTACGCCCCCCAAAACTCCTAAACCCACACCCCAAACCCTAATTATGGGCTGGTGCAGACTCTACCGACAAAACATCAAACTCGTTGCGGCTCCCCCGGCCCCACAGTGGCTCGCCTCCAGGGAAGCAAGTCGTGTCCGCTGCATCTGTGCGTAGCAGGGGTGTGAAATCTTGAAGGTTTGGCTACGCATGTTTAGTTTTATACTAAAGTCCATCCCTGAGGCTGTAAAGCTTGACAGCTGAATGTTTCCAGTGCCCAACAGGCGACATCACTAGGGTTTAGTCCGCGTGCAGTGGCTACAACATGGTTAAGAGAGGAGAAGGGTTGGATAGGAGGAACTACAAAATAGGTGAACTCGACAGTCGATATCAGATTGCTACGATGTTCTGCGTAAGGCAATGAAACAGACAAACGATCAGCTTCAACTAGCAGTTCTGTACCAACTGCATGCATCAACTGCGCATTGAACTTCATGCGTTCATGGAAATCTGAAGTTTATTGGTAGCCCCAAGGGTCCATGTACACAAATAGTAAAAACTTAGGCCTCAAAGTAGTCCCTAGAAAAGTACACTTTTTGGGTACATGGACCCTTAGGGTAGTAGTATAGGGGATTTAAGACTTAGAAGAGGTGTTTTGCACATATTCTCAAAAAGGAACCCCTTCCATGGGCGTGTGAAGTGCGGGGCTTGATTCCCAACTCTAGCACAACTTGAAGGCCTCAGGCACCTGTAGACTAGTCTGCACCAAGCAGTGGGACCTTCAAACATTAACCTACCGCGAGATCTTGTTGGAGCCAGTTGTAAAAAAAAATGCGTGGCCGCAAAGCGCAAACGTGACTCTCAACCTCTAAACCCGAAACCCTCCCAAGACTGCCGGAGAGGAAAGCTCTTGCTATGGCCGGCCTCCTTGTCGTAGCTAGACGCACGCAGCCTTAGCTTGCAATTTGTGCTCTGTAGGGTGTGTTGCCGAAGTCTATACTGACAGTAGGATCGACTGCAGTAGCAGCAGTAGCCGTAGCAATATCCGTGGCAGCAGCAGAACTCGCCGCTGACACGGCGACATGGGATAGGAAGAGCTGACCCTGCCTTTCAACGTCTTCGGAACTTCAGTAATGCTGTTGGATTGGGAAGTCTCGGTTGCGGGAGAATATACAACAATAAAGCCCTATGCCTACCCAAACCAAGCTGATTGGGTTCAGGGCATCAGCCGGAAAGCCTAAATCAAAAATGCAAATACCCAAACCACTAAATCCTGATTTTTAAGGATCTTGCAATTTTACACCGCCAAACCCCAAAACCTCACCCCCACACCCTGATCACACAACAAGCCCCAAAACTTCCGCAACACACAATGCAGGCCACTTAAAATAACCTGTGATATATATATATATATATATATATATATATATATATATATTTATATATATATATATATATATTGATATATATATATATATATATCCATATATCCATATATACATGATGTATTCTTATTATAAATATCATATGTGTTATATGTAAATATATATATATATAATACACATGCATATGTATGTATGTCTGTATGTCTGTATGTCTGTATGTCTGTATGTCTGTATGTCTGTATGTATGTATGTATGTATGTATGTACGTAGGTATGTATGTATGTATGTATGTGTGTATGTATGTGTGTGTATGTATGTACGTGTGTGTATGTATGCATGTATGTATGTATGTATGTACGTACGTAGGTATGTAGGTATGTAGGTATGTATGTATGTATGTATGTATGTATGTATGTATGTATGTGTATATACATATACGCACACACACCGTAAGTGTTACTCTAGGTACCTTAAACCTTTAACCCTAAGTCCTCCTCTCTCCCAAACCCAGATAACTTACAAAACTTATAAATGCCTGTTGCTTTCCGTACTGTTAAGATTTTATACATATTCAAACAATATGTTACACTATATGAAAGCCGCACTTTAGACACCCTACAGAACCCTTACCGGAACCTTTGAACTTTGATTCAAACCAACACCCATCTCACCCCTAAAACCAACCAACAAAGCCAAAACTTAAACCCCTGAAACCCATCAAACCCTAAAGCCCTAAACTTAAACCCCTGCAACCATCAAACCCAAAAACCTCAAAGTCCTAAACTTAACACTAAACTAAAACCCGTGAAACCACCAAAGTCTACAGCCCCGAATGCCGTGGCAAACCCTAAACCCTAAACCCGCGCTGATTCCAGGCGAAGCTCTCTTCTTGCAATTCTCGGAACGGCGCTGCCTCGCAATCCGACGCCGACTTCAGGATTTGGGGATACTTGGGGGTTCATGGGACTTAGTAACTAGGCTTACAATTAAGGTAACTACACTTATATGTATTTATAACCCCAATTAGGGTACTTATAACTGTACTCAGTAAGTCCCATGAACCTCCAAGTAAGGGTCTTTGGGTGTTGGGGTTTAGGGCTTTCAGGGGGGGGGGGGTTGGGGTTTAGGGTTTGGGGTTTGATGGTTTTGGGGTGTAACTACGGTTTTTGCGCGCAAATACGATAAACATGCCACGGGAAAAGCTGCTCTAATTGTAAAGCCAGCCAGACTGAACCTTTATGAAAGCCCCGACGAAACCTTGTCAGGCAAAACGCCTTCTTACTTCCCCAATATGCCACAGAAATAAAAATGCAAACTTTCCGATTTCTACTAAACCGTAAGAGCTCAAAGAGTTTAAAGGTTAGGCATTGGAGATCTAAGTTATGAAAGCCCCGACGGGTATCCCTTTTCAGGCAAAACCCCTTTGTTGGCAACTTTTCTACACCCAAGCCCTGGGACATCTTGGTTCCAGGACTTGGACATCTAGGCAACTAGCGAATATACTTTAGAAGCTGCCCCCACCCTGTAATAGTGACCATAAGGATTATATAGGATTATATTAGGGCCCTATTATACTCCTATTATACCACTATTACAGGGTGGGGGCAGCTTCTAAAATATACTCCTGTTTGCCCCACGGAGTTGCTTTTCAGAATCCGTACTGTTGTGCTGGTTGGGCGCTATTCTTCAGGGTCGACACTACTTGCAAGCTGCTAAAACCCCCGAAACCTCAAGTACAGTCCTAAATACTCAAAACCTCAGCTCAAACGTGCCACCCGAACAAAAGACACAATCCAAATACAAAGCACGATAAAACAACTCAATACAAGTAATTGTCAAAACCATGGCCCGTTGGGGAGACCCTAAATATTTCGACTCTTGATACAGCACCCTACCCTGAGGGTCCATGTACCCAAAAAGTATATACTTTGGCCCCACAGTACCTGTAGAGGGATTGCTTTAAGGCCAAAGTATACACTATTTGGGTACATGGACCCTTAAACCTAAACCCTAAACCCTTATAGGAACACTTATAGAACCCTTATAGGAACCCTTAAAGGAACCCTGTTTGGGCACATGGACCCTTAGGGCTATAGTTGGAGAAGCCAAAAGGGACTTTGACAGCCACACATACGTCAGCCTGTGGGTCGTTCTGTACCTACTTGGCTGACTTCTGAACCCTTCCTAAAAGTTGTTTAGGGTTTCGGGTTTAGGGTTTAGGGTTTAGGGTTTATAGGGTTTAGGGTTAAACTTTCCCAAAGGCTCCATGTACCTTCATAGTAGATACTTAGGGCTTAAAGGGGTTCCTATATAGCTACTTTAAGGCCTAAGTATATACTATATGGGTACATGGAGCCTTAGGATTATAGTTCATGTAGAAACCCCCGAAGTTAAAGTCCTAAGAGCCAACCAGACGAACGCCAAGCTTACGCAAACGCACGAAACCTTGACGCGATATACATACGTGCATACATACACACATGCGTATGTACATACGTACATCCAAACATGAACCCATCCTTCCATCCTGCCATCCATGCATGCGTTCATGCAAACATTGGTCGGTACATAATACCTGTGTCCCCGAACCCTACAAAATGGTAGGTTATGACCCCTTAATTAGAAGGTAGAACCCGGAAAACAGTAGGTTTTCGGATCCCAAGGTATGTCCTGTGGAATTGTAAAGCACCTACTCGCGATCACAGTCGGACAATTGAACATAATTGAACCCTAAACCCTAAAGCCTAAACCCCTCCCTGCGATTCCAGGCCACCTCCGGCAGTCGCTGAAAAGCCCGCTCAGCGACGTCGCCCTTCTCCTTACCCAAGGGTTCGTAGGTACTGGTATGGGAAATACCTTGGGATCCGAAAACCTACCGTTTTAAGGGTTAGACCCTCTAATTAAGGGGTCATAACCTACTATTTTTGTAGAGTTTGGGGATACAGGTACTCCCCCAGATCATAATAGTGATTCCTACAAAAGAAACCCTATGTTCTACTATATAGGTACATTGGACCCTGCTCCTTCATGCGCTTGGTGGCTGCTTTTGTTTGGGAGGTTGGGGTTGTAAAGCTTCACACCACGCCATCCGAAAAGGGGCGTCTGTGCCTTCCCCAAAGTCTGAACCGCAGAGAGATCCCAGACAGGTTTAAGTACAGTCTAGTCTAAACATACCTGAAGCCCTGAAACGCTAAAACCCTAGCGCTAACAAATCCTAAAGCCCATACCCGCAAACCCTATAAACCTGAAAACCCAAAGGCCAAAGTAGATACTGAACCCATGCAGTCCCTGGCTCTCCGAATAGCTCAAAGTGGCTACCGCTTGTAGTGAGCTTCGGACAGCACCAAAGCAGGTACTCTGCATATACCAGAAGCCCGAGGGTATAGATAACACCGAAACTGAACTTAAGATCTGAGTAGTTGTCAAAATTATGGTCCCTTTGTGGGTTCTTATTATAATGCGACACCTAATATTTAAGGTACCCCAAAAGCGACCATAATTTTGACAACCACCCATATTTTCAGACCATTTCGGACTGATTGAAGAGGTGATGGATATAAAATACTTGGAGGTTCATGGGACTTTGTAGGCACAGTTATAAGTACCTTAACTGGGGTTATAACCAACGAAAAGTATAGTTACCTTGATTATAACCATAGTTACTAAGTCCCATGAACCTCTAAGTAGGGTGTTCAGTAATTGCTAACACTATGCGGGGGGTCCCTCATGATGAGTATAGTATAATATACCTCAGAACCCTATTCTAAGTATTGAGCATCGGGGTTCGGGTTTGTTGCGAAACAGAGTCGAGAGTACGCAAAAGAACACATCGACGTGCAAGGGCTGCACGTCCAAACCGGTAGCTTGAATCCTAACCCCAAAACCCTGCAGCCAAACCCCTTGACGCAAGCAATCTGTAAAAGGGCTTAGGGTTTAGGGTACTCTAAGACCTGAAGCTCTGAGTCCCTAATCCCGCAACATCCTGATCCTCGATCCCCAAACTCCTAAACCCTCCAAGCATTGAGGCAAAAGCCCCTCAAATTCCTCACAACCGAAGACCAACACCACCCGGGCACTGCATCTTCAATGGTTTAGAGTTCTGGTCTTGGGTCGAAGAGTTTACCGATTCCTAAACTTGCCCTAAACCCTAAACCCGAACCTGGATGGTTATACGGTTTGATCTGCTCTGGAACTTCAAGGTAGCCAACCCTGACCCCTAAACCCCAAGCCTTAAGCACTAAACCGCAACCCCTAAACCCACAACCCTTACCCCGCATCCCAAACCCTAAGCCCTAAGCCGTAAACCCCTCAACACCAAGCTCTATAAACCCTACACCCTGACCCCTAGTACATGTATACATATATGAGAAATTATCTATCTATCTATACATATATATATATATATATATATGTACATATATATGGTATATGTATATACATCAGAACCCTCCCCCAGCAACCCTCTATTCTACGCGAACAATCTCCACTATCAAGGACCATAAGACTTGCGTGGGGGTGGCAACCCCAAACCTTAAACCGAAAAAATGCCCTACAGTATTATACTGTTACACTGCATCATATTAATGATGTTATCTACGCTTATTATGATTATTCTCAGTATTACTTAAATAATACTTATTATTATTGTGATCTTAATATATAAACCGTAATATTATGAGTATAATCATTATTACTGCAATAATACCAATAATAACAGTTATTAGGCAATACATACCTATATTTTATGTATATATAGATATATGATATATATGTATATATAAGCCCTAAACTCCAAACCCCATCTTCGGAGCTTCTTCCGGAAATCTCGGGCCCTGGCTCCTTGGCCTTCCAGGACCAGCCGCTCTAACCTCGAAGAGGGTTCAGTAAGGGTTCCTTTAAGGGATCCCTGTAGGGATCCTTGTAGGGATCCTCTAAAGGGATCCTTGTAGGGATCCTTTAAGGGATCCTTGTAGGGATCCTTGAAAGGATCCTTTGAAGGATCCTTGGGGGTTCCTCTAAAGGGATCCTTAAGGGATCCTTGAGGGTTCCTTTAAGGGTACCTTTAAGGGATCTACAACTTACTGCCTCAATAAGCCACAGAAATAATCAGGTTAAACTTTCCGATTCCTGCTAAACTATACGAACCCAAAAAGTTTAAAGGCTGGGTATCGGGGATCTAAGTTAAAGGGAGCTATAAGGGATCCTTAAGGGTTCCTTTAAAGAGTCTATAAGGGATCAGGGTTTAGATTTGTGAATGTAATTTAAGTCCTCGAGATCGCAACGCAGGTCCGGCACCTACTTCCTTGAGGCATGCACTGGAAAGGGTTGAGGATTCGGGGTTTTAGGGTGTTAGGGTTCTGGATTTAAGGTGTTATCTTTTTAGGGCTTGGGATTTAGGGCTTTACGGCTTTAGGGTGTTAGGGTTTGAGATTGAGGGTTTCAGGGTCTAGGGTTTCAGGGTCTAGGGTCAGGATGTATAAGGCTTGAATTCGGGGGTTTAAAGGCTTTGGGGATTAGGGTTTTAGGGTATTCAGCAGAAGCCAGAAACTTGGAACAGGATTCGCCTCATGCCCGTAAAGTATTTTGGAGCCGTATTAACCAACATGAAGCATCCTTAGTCTGTGTTCCAACTTTCTAAGTTCACTGTAGGGTTTCAGGGTTTGGGGTTTGACGTGTCAGGTTCTAGGATTTAAGACTTTGGGTTTAGGAACCTTGGAGCGTTGGGACGTCGTATCCCCAGATCTCGCAATAGACCTTAACTCCGGAATATAGCCGGAGTATCCGTAGTCTGCTTTATACGAATCAAGGTATATTACCTATGTTATATCATTGTTACTTTATTCTTTTGTAAGTCTGGGTGGAGCATTTTGTTAGAATGCCGTTGAAGCAACGGGGGGAGACGATCTTGTTGGCGGCAATCAGGTTGCGGAAAGGCTCGCCCGCAACGAGTGTGATCTTCCTGGTAGAGATAGCCACGCTTTGCGCGGAACTGCGTGGTGTGGCACCAATGCAATGTATGCGGCCTTGTCCACCGAATTCGGCAGCCAGATTGGAGAAGCCATGGACCTGCCAATTCGCGGAGAGTGAGAATGCGTGCAAAAGATCGTGCAACGTGCTCGAGCCAAAAGAGATAGACAGCCAAAAGGCATACGATTACTCGGGCTCGGATCTTGTAGCAATGGGGCCCCGCTTGCCTCGCCAATGTGGATCCTGCTTTGGAGAAGCCGGTGCTTGCCGTACGAGTTGGTAGCTACCCACGCTCTTTTCGCCTTTGCTGCTGCCCTCGAAGAACTCGGAGCTCGATTCCTGCGCCTGCAGCTTCTCGGCGTCCATTTCGATAAGCAAGAGGTGCAGCAACTGTTCCCGGCATGGCCTGGAGAACTCAAGCCCTGCCTTCATGCTGGCCTGCAGAATATCCACATCTGGTCGCTGGAGCATATGGCAGGGGCAACGTCCGCGAATAAAACTAAGGGAGGGCCCTTAACTACTAGAATAAGGTTTTGGGGTTCCTTATTGTAATTGTACAGTAGAAGCCCAAAAGTTGGAAACGCCATAGCCTCAATCCTTAAGAGCAATGTATAGGGAATTTCAGCACTGTTTGGCCTTAATCCGGTTTTCAACTTTATGGGGTTGACTGTAGTATAATATACCCAAACCCTATTCAAATTAGTATGGCCCCTATATTATTGCACCCTTATAGAATCCCTTGTTTTAGATCCCCTTTGAAGGAACCCTTTAAAAGGAGCCCTAGTCTAATTAGTACTTGGAAGGTCATGGGACTTACTAAGTACAGTTATAAGTACCCTACTTGGGATTATAAGTACATATAAGTGTAGTTACCTTAATTGTAACCCTAGTTACAAAGTCCCATGAACCTCTACGCAGGGTTTAGGCAGGAAGTTCCTTTCAGGATGTCGTAAGACCTTCTGAAATGTGATTCAGGGTTTCGATGTAGGGTAGGGAGCTTGCGGTTTCGGGCCTGATACCAGGAGCCCGAAAAGCACCAGAGTATAACCTGTTGAAGGTAATGATCCTTTAACGAGTTGGCTGTTCATATCTAGGCTTGGTGTAGGTGTCATTTGCTGCCTATCTCTTACCTAAATGTTGTGTTTGGGACCCCGGGCATGCCAATACATAAATCATCAAAGATCCAAGCATGAGCTCGCCACGAAAAAAAAACACCACACACACACACACACACGTGCAAGTAGACAGAGAGACTCTGCGGGGACTACTGAACACGATGTTGCATTTACATGGGTGGTTGTCAGAATTGGGGTCCCTGTTTGGGTACCCTAAATGGCCCTAAATAAGAGGTGCCATGTTATGATAATGAGCCAAGAAGGGACCCTAATTTTGACACCTACCCACATGTGCTTCGTCCCGTAATTCAGCCAGTCACCAATCAAAACTGGAATCAACTAAACCCAGATGCCCTAAATCCAAAACCCTAAACCCTAAATCCTAAACCCTAACCCTAAACCCCTACCCTAAACCCCTACACCCCTAAACCCTAAACCCCTAAGTCCTAAACCCCAAAGACCTAAACCCAGTTTCTTGGGGGGCAGACTCCTCGCAGCGGCGGTTGATTTTCTGCAGGGCTGCAGGAATTAGCAGGGCAGTAGATTCGGAATGCTGAGACCTTAGATCCAAGCATAAAAAGGAGAGACCCTTACTAAGGACCCCTAGGTATATACCTTACTATAGCTATTATATACCCATTGTATAGGGGTCCCCATTAAGGGTCCCTCCTTTTCCCCTTTGATTAGAGTGAATCCCAGAAAGTTGGAACATGGATTTAAAATGATCAGTGCTGGGATTGCCAATGCTTTACCTTAAGGACATGAGGAGGACAGTAATGTTGGGTTCTTAAGGTTTTCAGCTTTGGAGAATGGGTGAAAGTATAGTGTTGTAGGCTTAGAGTTAAACATGCGGCAAAACCTCTCGCAACCGAGCCCTGCACGAATCTAGGCGCTCTCGAAAAAACCGGTTAAAACCCTGACATTATCCTAAGGACTCAGCCCATGCATCCGTAAAGCCATACAGTAATATCTAAAATGTCCAAGATTCCACCAGCAGAACACTCAGTACAGGTCAACACGCCAAACGACACTGTGCAGAGCGCGCTGCATAGAATGAGTGAGGGCTTTCCATTCGGACGCCGTTCGAGACAAGCGCAATAAGCCGAATGTGCACGATGTGAACTCTTGTGTCAGCCCTGAACCCAACGTCCCAGACCATTAAAAATTGTAGAACTGTAGAGTCTGTAGAACCCATTATAGTTTCCTCAAAGGAATCCTAGACCCATCCGCTGCCTGAAGGGCAGCATCAGTCTGCCCCTGCAGTTGCACCTCGAGCAGCTGGCAGAAAGATTCATCGTTTGAAGTTCGGGCTCCAGGGTTTTGGGGTTAAGGCGCTTGGGGGTTTCGGGTTTATCCCATGGGTCCAAAGGACCCAATAATTAGGTACTCGGTTGTAGGATGGTAGTTATGTAGGCTGGGAATTTGAAGAGTGTCTGATTATTAGGTACTTGGACCCTCGGGGTTAGGGTTCAGGATGTAGGGTTTAGGATTTAGGGTTAAGGGGTTTATCGTTCAGGGTTCCTTACCTTGGGGGGGGGGGGTAAAACTTAGCGCGCTAAGTCTTCATTTACCCAACTAGCAGGGTTGAAACCTTGGGCGAAGTTTTGCTATCCAAAGTGCCAAAGTCGCCAATTGAGTAAACGAGAAGCACCCTTGATGATACAATTTGTGCATTACCTTAAGGACACCAAACTATAGGAATATGATACATTCCTTGTTATGGGTAATGCAGGATTTGTACCATCAACCTTACCTCAGGCAGAACCGGTTCATGGCTCCAGGAATTGAATTTGCGAACTTTAGCACTTGGGCAGTCAACACCTGATCACAAAAAACTCAAAACCATGGGTACCTATATAGGGACTACTTTAAGGCCAAAGTTTACTGTTTGAGTACATGGACCCTCAGGGTATTGGAGGCTTTGAGGAAAAGAGTACGGGCGGCCGTCACTTTATCTTTAGCATGCCGGCTGATCTTCCTTATCCATGTTGTTCATGTTGCCTTAGGATCAGAAACCAACTCCAGTACCCAATGCCTCTAAACCCGTCGAGCTTACATCCTAGACCTTCAGTCTCTAGCCGCTAAACCCCCGAACCCTAAGTACACCCTCTAAGCCCTAAACCCTTCCTGTTTTCTGTAGGGCCCCGAAAACAAGCACATAAGCAAAAATTAGGATAGGGATATCCCATCTAAACCCCCTTATAATGAAGCCCAATAAGGTAGGGATATCCCCATAAAATGCTTATGCTTATGTGCTTTTGGGGCCCCTAATTCTGGGGGGACCACCCGACTCTCTGCAAGGCGCCGTTCCTGCAGGGGCAATAGTGGGGTGATTCCCAGCTAGACCAAAGAGTAACCTAGGAATAACAAGGGTGCCCTTTTTTGGTTTAAAGGGGTTTATCAGGGAACCTAAGCACAAAAAGGGAATAAGGGCATACTCTAGGTCCTAGCCAGAGACTCGAATACCCCGTAATTGCGGAATATGCCTTAAATCATCTGAGGGATCCTACTATAATTTAAGGTATACTCCTTAATTAAGGGATATTGGAGTGTCTGGGTTCTGAAGATTTGTGCTTGAGTTTAACCTTACCGCCTCCTTGAGGATTTTATACGAGCTACTATATTCGAGGACTTGAAGTGCGCGGATCAGGGTTTAGAGTCTGATAGGCCTTGGGTGGAGATTTTTTCTACCAGGTTCTGTTGAGGTTTGAAGCCAAGAGGATCCATATATACTCCTGTGATGGAACTCAGCCACCCCAAACCTAAACCCTAAACACCAATAGGGACTGTCTTGAAGGGGCCAAATGCTTGCAGGCAACGGCTCTGAGATGGCTGGAAGGGTTTGCAGTCCCTAAGGCTCTGTATACCCAGAGACTCCAATACCCTTTAATTACCGGATATTCCTTAAATCGCATTAGAGGTCCTACTATAATATAGGTATATTGTGCAATTAAGGCATATTGGGGTCTCTGGGTACTCATCTAGTATGGCCTCAATGCCGACTCTATATGGGTACTTTTGTGCCCAACTATACACTCAATGGGTAAATGGACCGATAAAGGAGTTCCATGGCCATGATGCGGCTTGAGTACGTTAAGGCTTCGGAAGTATGAGCTTATATGAATGCCCCGATAAGCCACAGAAATAAAAGGTTAAACTTTCCGATTCCTACTAAACCATAAGAACCCAAAAAGTCTAAAGGTGCAAATGTTGGGGGACCTACCCAGAGATTCCAAAATCCCCCAATTAAGGAATATACCTTATGTTATAGTAAGATCCCTGATGTGATTTAAGGAATATTCCTTAATTAAGAGGTATTGGAGTCCCTGGGTAAATCTCTTACAGTGAGGCCCGGGGGGCATCCTTGGGGTTTCTAGGGTTTAGCACATGTGGGTCGTTGACAAAATTACGGTTCCTTTTTAGGTACCCTAACCAATAGGTGCTGTATTATATTAGGGACCCAAAAAGGGACCATAATTATGACAACCACCCATGTGGATACTGCTACACTAGCTCGTGAACAAAAAGTAAGCTTTCGGAATCACAGCTGTATGCTCACACCATGTAGGGTTTAGTTTTGAGTAGGGCAAGAAAAAGGCCAGACTTACAAGCTTGGCTTCATCTGCTTGGAATTAAGTAGAGCGACAGCTGATAAATGCTGCTGTGGGAGGTTGTTGAAACTGTCTCAGTCGGATCAGACTCAGAATAAGGCCCGGAGCATGCGCGTAGCTATATACTACACTACCTAAGCCTAAAAGCATGTACTATGAGAAAACCCTTTACGGCCCACGCATGTACTACATGCATAAACGGAGCCTTGGGCTTAGGCTTGGAGTATAGGGGCATTTGGGGCTTGCTGTGGTTTAGGGCTTACGGATGCCGACAAACTGCGCTTCGAGTCCAGGAAGTGGGGTTAAACAGGGCGCTGGAAGCCCGAATCCTCAACCCTGATTTGCGAGTCCTCCTACGGCCCAACTCCCATACAGCCCAGTAAGCGTGGCAAGCCCACTCCTTAGGGCCCAAAACACCCAGAGAACCCAATATCCCTTAATTCAGAAATATCGCTTAGGTAATATTATGAAGTCCCTGATAATTTAAGGTATATTCCTTAATTAAGGTGTATTGGGTACTCTGGGCAACACCCAAACCCTAAACACCAAATTCCAAGGGCCGAAGCGGCCTGAAACGTGATCTTAAAGCCCACCAAGTCTCATCAAAAACCAAAAACCCTAAATCCTAAGCCCTAAATCCTCTAAATCCTATATCCCAAACCCTATACCCCCAAATCCTAAACCCGAAGCCGTACCTGGACGGCGATGCGATCTTCGAGGCGCAGCTGATGTGCTCGTTCAAGCTGACAGATGGCTCAGGGGTATACGGTTTACTGGGATGCCCAGTAGGGTTTGGGGTTTAATTTAGAGTTTAGGGTTTAGGGTTAGTTCAGTAAGGGTTTAGAGTTTAGGGGTTAGGGTATACGGTTTACTAGGATGCCCAATAACCTAGGAACAAAAAGGGATCCCTTTTTGGTATTGGGCAACTTTGTAATAGGAACCTAGGACCTAGGACTACAAAAAGGGAATAAGGGTACTACTGGGCATCCTAGTTAACGGTTTAAGGTTAGGAACTCGGCTTTCAAGTTGTTCTCAAGGTTTTTTGGATTAGGGTTCCTTGAACTTTCATGAAGTTTTGGGAGGGTTCCGAAAGGTCTCTCAGGTCAGTGTTTGGGGTTTTGGTTTCGACACCCCAAAGGCTCCATGTACCTCTATACCAGATACTTAAGCCTTAAAGGGGTCTCTAGATAGGTACTTAAAGGACTAAGTATATACTATATCAGTACATGGAGCCTTGGGGCCCTATCAAATATTACAGGCTGTTGGGCTTAGCGCTTCGGATTCGAGGCTTGAGTTATCGTAGGGTTTAGGATTTAGGGTTTCGGGTTCGGAACCCTAAGTCTCATAAGCATCGCCCCGAACCCTCAAGTTTGGGATGCGGCTATACTTCAACCGCTATAGCAAGCGAACAAGTTTGGACAAAATCCAGTCAGAGCTCGGAACGCTTCTGAGATGTTGCCAATTGCTGCAGCAGGACTATCTTCACTTGTAACAGAGCGCAATATACCGTACTGTCAGATCACAGTAGTACTATCAACAACAAGTGCAATTACATCTGTGATGTTATTGGCAAGGCTGAAGCAATTCAATCATTTCGCGTTGCTAAAAGCAGCAGTCCAACCGGTACGAAAGACAGTTATGCCGTGGTACGTAAAGCCCTTCAAACCTAAACCGTACACTGAACACCAACAACACCTACAACCATCAAAGAAGCCTAAACCCCGAACCTTAAAGGACGCCCTGTACAGGATTTCCCAATTAAAAGGATATCTGCAAGGATCGCTGCATAGCTAGATCTATCAAATATCTTTATGTATGGCAACCTGGACATGTCTATACTAATGCATATGTGTGTATATATATATATACCCATATACATGTGTATATATATATACATATATATATACACATACATGTATATAGTATGAACGTATGTATGTATGTATGTATGTATGTATGTGTGTATATCTGTATGTATGTATGTATGTATGTACGTATGTATGTATGTAAGTGCGGACAGCCTCTTTCAGCCGCTCGGCAAACTCTTCGATGGGCGTCGCACGCCGGACTTTGCCATCCAAGTCCTGGCCTTGTCGGGTCTTCTCTCATCAACTACTATTTGCTTAAGAACCCCCAAAAAAGAAAAACAATATATACCTTATGGGGGTAATATAGGGATTATTATTTTATTTTTTGGGGGGTTTCTTAAGCAAATAGTAGTCAAGTGGCTTTCGGATCAGGGTTTAGGGTTTACAGTCTTGGATTTTTGTTTCGGGGCGCCCTGAGAAACTTGGGTTTGAAATAATTACTCTCAACCCGAACCCGAAACTCTAAACCCCCAAAACTTTCATCCCAGCACTCAAGCTTTGTAGGTCGGATCTGTCCCTTACTACCCCAATAAGCCACAGAAATAAAAGGCTAACTTTCCGGTTCCTACTAAACTTTCAGAATCCAGAAAGTTTAGAGGTTACGTATTGGGGATCTAAGCTACAGGATTTTGGACAATGGTTAAGATCTGCTATATAGAAAAGTAGATACCTGAAAAATGTGGTAGGATATGAGCCTACAGGTAGCATTTCGCCCCAGAACCCTACCTACTATAGATCCCTCATAGACCCCGTATAGAACCCTTTAAAGGAAACCCTATCCTGTAGGACTCGAGCTTTGTAGCCCTAAACCCTAAACCCTAAGCCCAGTGCGACCATGCCGAGGCCGAGGCAATCGGCTTGCAAGCGCTTTAAGCTCTCCCAGACCTTCGGGCGTCGGGGTTGCGATTCAGGGTTTCGGTGTTTAAGGTTTAGGGGTTTAGGGGTCTAGGGTGTAGGAGTTTAGGGTTTCGGGGATTATGTTTCAGGGGTTTAGAGTTTAGGGCCTCGGGGTTTAGGGAGTCTACGGTGGAGGAATAGTCGCCCGTGTCGCCGCATCTTAGTAGGAGCAGAAGCAGCAGCCACAGCAGACGAAGCCACGCAAAAGCCCAACCTCTAAAAGCGCCCGTAGAACCACCAATCAAGTGCAGAAGCCCTCTTAAAGTCCGACTGTCAGATGAGCCCAGTCACTAAACTTGCTTGTTACCATCCCTATAGTCTTATGTAATATGATAGTTACTATTCTGTGTTCTGTAATCCTCCGGCATCTTACTGCTCTTGTCATTATCACTATGTCTATCTGCTATTGGCGCATTTGATCAAATGAGTTGATTGCTTTGTTAAACTTTCAATAGTATCTTGGCCTACTGCAAGCTACCTCTCTTTGTGGGGTCAGCACTTTTCGGGGCCTTACCAGAAAAGGTAGGTTCTGGAAGACTAAACCCTAAACCCTAAATTAAAGCACCCTGGAACAAAGTTTACAAATAGGAGCTCGGCATATAAGGGATCTGTATACAGACCCGTTAAACGCCGGGTACAAGGACCAAAGGTAGGCCCAGGCGGAAGAACCCACTAGAAAATCTCGTCAGAGCCACCTTGTGAAACCCTCGCAAAACTCCGAAAACCCTTGTAAACAGGCTGTAGGACCGCGCCAAATGCTTTCAAACACACCGCCCCTCCACCCCGCTCCCCACCCAGATCCTAAAGCCCAAACCCCCCACCTCAAAACAACGATAGCATCTACCCCTAAGGGTCCGTGTACCTAATTATCATATGCTCTCCAAAATAGTAACCTACATAACTACAATCCTAGACCCAACTACCCAATTATTGGACCCTTGGGGCAGAAGCGTAGTCCAATCCCGGTACTGTAAGTGCCGAAGGCATGATTTGTGACACGATCCACAGAGATTCATCCTGCGCTAAAGTGGGCTACAATATGGGGGTTTCCGAAAATGGGAGGTACCTTAAAGAGTAAAGTCCTTGTTATAGGGACCCCAAAAACAGGTACCCCCTAATTTTCGGAAAGCCTAAACCCTTATAGAGCCCCCTTAAAGGAACCCTTATAGTACCCTTATAGCCCCCCATTACAAGGAACCAAAACTAAATCCCTATCTATCGGATTTCTCTAAACCCTTAACCCTAAACCCTTTATAGAACCTTTATAGATCCCTTTAAGGAACCCTTAAAGGATCCTTTTAAAGGTGCCCCTAGTTGTCGGAAACCACCATATGGGAGTTTCCGAAAACAAGGGACCCTAATATCGTACCCAAAATAGTAGTATCCTTATATGTAATAAGGACCCCCAATAAATGTTACCCCTAATTTTCGGCAACCCTAAACCCTTATGGAGCCCCTTTAAAGGAACCCTTATAGTACCCTAGTCCCCCTTTAAAGGAACCCTAAGGTACCCCTAATTTTCGGAAACTCCCATATCACCTCGTCCAGGCCGCTGGGCCCGGAAGCCTGGCTCAAGGGTTCCCAGGGACTCCAATATCCCTTAATTAAGGAGTACCTAGGGGTTCCTTTAAAGGGATCCTTAGGGGTTCCTTTAAAGGATCTATAGGGTTTAGGGTTTAGAGATCCCAGAGACTCCAATCTCCCTTAATTAAGGAATATACCTTAAATTATAGAAGGACCCTTAATATGGTTTAAGGAATATTCCTTAATTAAGGGATATTGGAGTTTTTGGGTTTGGGGTCGGTTTAGGGTTTAGGGTTCCTTTAAAGGGGGACTATAAGGTTACTATACGGGCTGCTTTAGAGGGGCTCTATGAGGGTCTAGGTTTTAGGGTTTCGGGTTTAGGGCTGCGGGTTCAGGGTTTAGGGTTCCTTTAAAAAGGGTTCTACAAGGGCTTATAGGGTTCCTTTCTAGGGATCGTTTGGGCTTCCTTTCTTTCCGGGGGTTTAGGGTTTAGGGTTTAGGGAATCAGCAGCAAAGTCGACTCTGCCGGGAGGCTGAATCTCGAAGACGTTCGTTCGCATGACGCTGTCTCACTGTCTCCATAGCCGACGGCACAGGCAGACACCTTGGACAAGAACCTCGCTGGTTGCCGTACTGGGTCAAGGGAAAGCGCAGACAGGACATTCGCAGGAGCCACAAAGGAAGCAACGTCGTGCTCAGAATCATGCACCACCATCGACAAAGAGGACTTGATTTTGACGCCCTCTCTCTCGAAAATGAGCGAATCGCAACCCTCGTCTACAACATGGGCGTTGGTGAAACAAAGCACAATGTTCGCCTGTTTGTGCTTGTTGCCAGAAAGCCCATAGTCTGTTCTTGGGAATCCTTGACATCGTGTCAAGTTGCTTGCAGGGAGGTGTGGGGCTTCGGGTTTTGGGATTTGTTCAAAACCGCTAAACCCCAAACCCTCAAGTAAAACCCCAAACCCTAAACCCTAAACCTTAGCCACGGTTTAGGGTTTAGGGTTTTAGGACACTTGGGCCTTCGCTGTTAATGTCCGCGACTGATGGTGGAATCCCTATGCCACATCCTGGAGGCCAGGGTTTAGGTTTAGGGGTTAAGAGTTTCAGGGTTCAACAATTCTAAAAGGGTACTGGAAGGATTCGGGCTTACCAAGACCCCAAAATAACCTACCGTTTTAAGGACTTGTATAAGGAAACCATAATAAGCATAATAAGGAAGCCTAAAAGGTAAGTTCTTCAGGGTCCAGGTAGGGCTTAAGAGATTTGGGGTTTGAGGCTCTCTGCTTAAACATATTACCTGCAATGCTGTCAAACATCGGCAATGGTCCGTGGACGTCGTTACAAGGTTTGTAAGAAGCATTACTTGGGTAGGGACCCTCCCAACCTTTTATAGTCAAGGGTCGTCAAGGCTGTACTTAGAGGTTCATGGGACTTAGCAACTATGGTTATAAACAAGGTAACTATACTTGTAGTTGGTTATAACCCCAGTTAAGGTACTTATAACTGTACGTACTAAGTCCCATGAACCTCCAAGTAAGATCAGGGGCTGACGGTAAGGCCCAGGGCCTGGCTAGAATACACATGATCTGTAGGGCCTAAGGCTTAGGGGGGCTGTATGTTTTCATGCCAAACCGCAAACCCTCAACTCCAAACCATGAACACCCAAAACCCTGGAGATCTCCATTCTAGAACCCTCCCAGAACCCTAACAGAACGGACGTGTTTGATGAAGTTGCACGAGATATGCCCTTGCATATGACTCTTACAGGGTCGACAGGGCTATGTAAAGGCTAAGTGTTGAGATGTTTCTCCTAAAAATCAAGCCAGGTCTCTCTTTCTACTATATGTATTTATATGTATATGATGCATATATATATATATATATATTTGTGTTCACAGCTATTTAGTTGATTACTTACGTACACACATGTTTCTAAGTTCTACCCCCTGAACTGAAGCCCAAACCCTAACCCCTGAAACCGCACGTATGCATGTTGAAGGAGCGCTCGACCCTCTTCCAGGACCCACGCTCGGTCAAGCTCGCGAAGGCGCGAATCGACCTGCGCCGGATTGGGTGCAGGGCTTCAGGGTTATAGTAAAACACAACAATAATACCTTTAACCCTAAAGCCCTGAACCCTGAATAAGAAGATTGGTGTCATATACATGCAACACCGTTGCCGTGGCAATATGGTAGCAGTTCGCAAGACCAGAATGCACTACATGAGATAAACTTTATGGCAGCTGCTGATGTTTGCATGCGAGATGCTCGACGGCTGAGCTGCTCCAGCGCAGCGTCTGCTGAGGCCTGCCCGTTTCCGCTTCTCTTTTCGCAACATGTGGTCACCACAACTGCAACGTACGAAATCAAGAACTCGCTGCAGTGGTCAACTTTCTCATTTTCTACTTCCTACTGCATGGCAACCGCAGAAAACTGCTCAGCAGAATACCGTCAGGCTCCATGTAAGGCGGATTAAGGTAGGGCCTCCTCATTCTCTACTTCCTACTGCATGGCAACCGCAGAAAACTGCTCAGCAAAATACCGTGAGGCTCCATGTAAGGAGGATTAAGGTAGGGCTTCCTCTTGAAAGTCCTGTGTTGCTCTCTGGGGCATTTTTAAATTCCGAGGAATTGCCAGAAGTGCTTTCCGCGGTCCATGCACCTGTACAGTTTCTGTCTCACATATATAAGCGGGACCTAGACATAGATCTACATCATAGTTGTATATGGCGAACGACAGATGGGATACGACATGTCATATGTCATATTGCACTTGCAGCAACCCGTTGCTAGTGTGGAGCCCGGCTTGATCGTTGGACAAAAAAGACACAACACATTTCCAGATTCTGTGATCCTGTCTTAGGGTTTAGGGCTTCCTGCATGCGAAAGACATCCCCACGAGACGGCTAGTCAGAGTGGCAACTTTGCTCATCTCCGACCTGTATCCCGCCATCCAGGTGACGACAGCCACTGGCACATCCTCAGGTCTGCAATACAGCCTGCGCAGTCAGTTCGAAGAGACTACTCTTTGTTCCAAGGATGTTTGCACTTCTTGCAAAAGCCATCGTAAGACTGCTCATCCGAAAAGTCGCACTTGGGGCAGTCCGGTTTGGCAGGGCCACCTCATGATCATGCTGCTTCAGGGTCCCACCGAGTGGATACATGGTGTACCAGCACCCCCCTGCCGAGGGAAAACCTCACACCCTGAAGCGCCATTCGTACTGCAAGGTGCCGGCTACTGAGGCGGCCAAGTTCCGGCTACACACACATTCGATGGGCGGGCCGACAGCTGTGAATGCGAATCCAGAATAAAGCTACAACACGCAATCACTTAACCCGGCTCCCAAACACCAATCCCAAAATTCCTATGAGGTCTAATCCCGAAAACCAGACGCTGCAACATAGACCTTCCCGAGGGACTGAAACCCCAGCGACCAAACATCAAGAGACCACCGAAACGACACCAACAAGAACCTTATTACCCCAATAAGCCACAGAAGTAAAGGGTCAAACTGTCCGATTCCTACTAAACTATAGGAACCCAAACGTTCAAAGGTTAGGTCGGTTAGGTATTGGGAATCTAAGGACCCATGGACACGAAAACACTGTAACTAAGGATTTCCTAGGTCATTTCTTAGGGAGACCCCTTAACTGGAACCCTTCTTAACTCTACTTCTGGCTCTGTTGAAAGGGGCACGAGTAAGGCCTCTGGGCAATTAGACCCAAAGGCCAAGACCAACCTGCGGATCCAAAAACCTACTGTTTTAGGGGTTAGACTCTAGAATTCAGGGGTCATATCCTACCATTTTGTAGGGTTTGGGGATGCAGGTGAACCCTGAATCCTCGTAGACCCCTCGTAGAACCCATATCCTTACAAGAACCCTTACACAATGCGAAAGCCTTATTCGGACCCTTAAGATAACGGTAGCTGAGTCCCAAGACCCAAAGTTCTCCGCGGCTCAAAGTAGCCAGGGTAAGTACCCAGAAGTTCCAATCATCCAAACTCCCTTAATAACTGAGGAAAACACCTTCAATTCTTTGAAGTATAGTATATATATATATATATATATATATAAATTTATATAAATAAATATGGACCCAACTCCACGTCTATTCCCTAACGCAGGGATCTGGAAGGTCTGGGCATCTTCTGGGCTCTGCCCCCTTGTGTTCAGGGTTCAGGGTTCAGTCTAGGCTTCAGGGTCTAGGGTTCAGGGTTAAGCGGTTTAGGGCATACCTGTGACCCCAACCCCTACAAAATAGTAGGTTATGACCCCTTAATTAGAGGGTAGAACCCTAAAAATTGTAGGTTTTCGGATCCACAGGTAGGGTTTAGGGGTTTAGGGTTTGGGGTTCAGGGTTGAGGGTCTAGTACATTGGCTACTCTTGGCAAACCCTAAACCCTACTCCCGTCCTGCATGGTCTCGCCAACCCCTCGCAGGTGCTCCTCGCGAGCCTTTACGCGCACGTCTGTCGAGAGGTCTAAGGTTTCAGTTTTATAGTCTAAGGGATGATGGCTTTAGGGTTTAGGGTTTAGGGTTTAGGGGTTTAGGGTTTAGGGTTTAGGGTTTACGGGTTGGGGATAGCGGTTCACAGGATTAGGGCGGCGCTTAAAGCCTAAACGACTAAAGCCTAAGCCCTTCCACCACTAACAACTAAATCCTAAAACATAAACCCTAAACTCCCTAAACCCCTCACAGCCTCAACTGTAATCCTTGAAATCCTGGAACCCAGTTTGATAGCGGTTGACGTTGTCTGCCACGCACTGTAGGAGCTGGGCTCTATGCGACCAAAGCGTCATGTCACTGACTCCTTCGGTCGGGACCTTCTCCGATTCATGCAGCGCTTTCAAGATGTCCAAAACTTCGTACTGGTCTGCACACTTGCTGGGTGCATATGATGAAGCCCGCAAGGAGCGGTTCTTGTCTCGTGCGGAAAATTTCGAGGACAATGGGTCGCACTGCCGCGATGAGCCGGACTAGCCACTCTTGAGCATGAGCACTTCTCTGCCTTCAGCTCCTCCTCCTTTCTCTCGAGCTGACGGAGCTGCGGTGCCCTTATGGCTTCGCGCTCGAGCTGGCCTCTCATGTTGTGCTTCTAACCACAAAGCCCGTCCTCCGGCCAGACCGAATTCACCACCTCTTCGTGGACTTCTGAAGGTCGAGACTGGGAGTTCCACTGGGTTTAGGGTTTAGGGTTTAGGCTGTCCGGCACGAAGGATTTCAACACTGCCGTGTTTTCTGTGGCCTTACTCCTCACACCTCAATCCCCACACGCAGGAACCTAAGATGTCAATAAAGCCTTGGCTCATCCGACTTAGAATCCGGCTCCATCTGTTATATCTCATTGCGGCTCCATTTTACCACCACCGCTGGTGCACAGGCATTTCGGCGAAACCTATAGACCCGTATCTTAGTATTGAGGCCGCCCGTGATCTACACCCTAAACCCAGGCCCTCAATCCGAAGGTCCTAAACCCTCATCGAACCATAACCCCAAAAACCTAAACACTAATCAAGCCTTAATCCATAAACCCTAATCAAACCCTAAACCCCAACAACCCTAACCCCAAAACCCAACCAAACCCGAATCCCTAAAACCCCAAACCCTAATCAAACCCTAAACCCTAATCAAACACAACTCCATAAACCCTAAACCCTAATCAAACCCTATGTTCTGGAGAGTGCAATGCCCTGGTGGCGTGTATTCCTCGGTAATTTAGAGGTTTTCACACGAGTTTTAACACCTAGCTCTGAAACCCAAATCAAGCCCTAATCCCTAAACCCTAATCAAACCCTAAACCCTAATCAAACCCCCAACCCGAATCAAATCCTAACCCGTAAACCCTGTACCCTCATCAAAACCTTAAACCCTAATCAAACCCTAGTCCCTAAGCTCTAATCAAACCCTAATCCCTAAACCCGAGACACTAATAATAAAACCCTAATCGAACCCTAAACCCTAATCAAACCCTGATCCCTAAATCCCATACCCTAATCAACCTCTAAACTCTAATCCCGAAACCCTAGACCCTAATCAAACCGTAAACCCTACTCAAACCCTAAACCCCAATCCTGATCGAACCCTAAACCATAATCAAACCCTAATCCGTAAACCCATAGCCCTAGTCAAACCCTAAACCCTAATCAAACCCTAATCCCTAAACCCCAATCAAGCCCTCTTCTCAAATCCTAATCCCTAAACCCAAAACCCGCAATCCTAAACCCTAATCAAACCCTAATCCCTAAGCCCTAAACCCCAATCAAACCGCCCTGAACCCTATTCAAACCCTAATCCCTAAACCCTAAACCCGAAATCCTAAACAAGCCCAGGATCTCTAGCAACATCGGAATGAAAACAGGGTCGGTTTAGGGTTTAGGGTTTAGGGTCCAAAGGACCCAATAATTATGTACTCGGCTTTGGCATAGTAGTTATGTAGGTTAGGAGTTTGGAGAGTGTGTGATTATTCGGTATTAGGACGCTTGCCGGGCTTATTTTGTCAGGGACCTAAGACTACAACAAGGTAAAAAGGACCCACTGTGAGACCTAGCCAGCACTTTTTTTGGGCCATATTCTACAGGGACTACAGTACCCACCCCCCCCCCACCTCCCTCTCCAAAAAACACATGTTCAAGCTCACCTCCTCTGCTACCCGGAGCCCTTACAAACCCTTATCGAACCCGTCCAAAGCCCTTATAAAACCCCTTGTACTACCCTAAACCGCTTAGAACCCTGGAAAAGGAACTCAAAGAAGGCCAATTAACAGAATACTTAAAGGCCCCTTAAAGGGGGCCCTTCAAGACCTCTTAAGGGAACCCTTCACGGGATCTTTCGGGACCTCTTCAAATTTTAAAGGACTGTTTATCGGCTCCTTGAAGGGATCTTTAGGGGTTCCTTTACAGGGATCTTGAAGGGTTCCGTTAACGGTATCTTTATGGTTCCACTCAACAAGTTAGAGAAAAATCCCTCGGCCTGCAATCGCTTGTCAGAAATCGCCAAGAAGGACCGAAGTTCCTCCTGGAGAGCATGTCGAACAAACGGGTTTGAGGTTTAGGGCTGCGGGTCTAAAATTTAGGGTTGAGGGTTGCTAAGGTACAGGTTCCGGGTTTAGAGTTTAAGGTTTAGGGTTTACGGTGATCAGGGTTTAGGGCTTTAGGGCTTGGGGATTAGGATTTAGTGTTTAGGGTTACCTTGTTAACGTCTGTCGTATCCTAAAGGTTCCTGCCAAGGGCTCATGTCACTATGGTCACTATGGCGTTTAAGGGAGGCGAGGCGCCCGCAGGCAGTGCATATACACCTACATGGGCCTTACAGAGATTCCTCTCCCGCTCTCTCGCTCTCTCGCTCTCTCGCTCTCTCGCTCTCTCGCTCTCTCGCTCTCTCGCTCTCTCGCTCTCTCGCTCTCTCGCTCTCTCTCTCTCTCTCTCTCTCTCTCTCTCTCTCTCTCTCTCTCTCTCTCTCTCTCTCTCTCTCTCTCTCTCTCTCTCTCTCTCTCTCTCTCTCTCTCTCTCTCTCTCTCTCTCCCTTGTCTGTGTATATATACATGCTTGTATGTACAAACACACATATATATATACATATGTACATGTGCACACATACACAGACACAACGACTTTAGGGTCAACCTTCAACCGTTTGTGAGTAAATGGAGGTTGGTGGCAGTTTTGGCCTTCTGTTGGCTCTGACAATTCTAGCAGAGCTATGTCTCATGAATCTAGGTATCATCGTCCTGGTTGTAACCAGACAGCTAAAACAGTAATCTATATCTATATGTACACACATATACATACACACACCATGATGCACATGAGCATCATACTGCTCATTCAGAATGCCATAAAGTAACAATATTATGAAAACAATTTCAAAGCCCAAGTGCCCAGACAGTAGGGTTTTTCAGGTACCAAAGAATACTGCTATATACCCTCTGAAGAAACGCTTAGGGTCACATAGACGCCGACATGGCAAGGCCCTTCTGATATCCTGTGTATAGTATAGAACCTGAACCGGTATTTCTGTGTGATTAGTATACAGGATCCTGACTAACTCAAGGAACTCTAATCCCTAAAACATGACATGGAAGATAAGGTACACTAGTTTCCTGAAGCTCCCACGTGGCCCTAAACCCCAAGTCCGCAAACCCTCATCCCAGATTCCTTCCCAGCAATGCCTGAACCCTAAACCCTACAGTCTACACTATACTGAACTTAGAACCCTAGCAAAAAATGTAATTTTAGCTTTTGCTTAGAGATTATAATAACCAAAAAGTATTTTTCCAAAGTACCCCTAAGTACACCCTGAAGCCTCAACCCTAGTATCTGAATTCAGGGTTCCTGGAGAGTGTATGGCTTATAGGATTAAGGTTCTATGATGAGGGTTCTGCCAAGGTCCTATCATAAGGGTTCTAAAAGGGTACCATGGGAGTTCTGTCGGAGTTCTATAAAGGGTACCGTAAGGGTTCAGGGTACAAGGGTTCATGTCGCCATACACTATATACTTTGACCCTCAAGAAACTAGAGAGGAACCCCTTCTGAGGCCAAAAAACACATCCGTGCTGCTGGGATCCCTACAAGTAGGATTGGAGTTTAACAGACCCGCCTTCTACCATGAATCCTTACCCCTTATGGACCCATGTAGGACTCATATTATGGTACCCTTGAAGAACCTTCATCATAAGGTCGAAGGGCAACGATTAGCGCAAACCGCGTCAGGTTGAGAGTTTTGAAGTATCTTGCCGGTTTAGGTCCGGCTTCACGGATCCTTGTCTTGAGGTTGCTCACGCTTTATCAAGGGAATTCTGAAGTTGACATGGGTTTCATTAGGGCATCCGGTTTACAGGGTTTAGGGTTTATGGGGTTTAGGAGACTTACATACCTTAGAAGCTGCCCCCACCCTGTAATAGTGGTATAATAGGAATATAATAGGGCCCTAATATAATCCTGTATAATCCTTATGGTCACTATTACAGGGTGGGGGCCCCTTCTAATACATACCGTGTGTGCACCAGATTTTTTTCGGAACATTGCGGTTTCGGTTTCGGCTGCAGGAGCGAATGCCCTAAGGCTCCATGTGCCCATATAGTTATACTTAGGGCTTAAAGTGCCTATATGGGTAATTATCAGAATTATGGTCCCCTTTTGGGTACCCCAAATACTAGGTGCCGTGTTATACTAGGAACCCAAAAAGGGACCATAATTTTGACAACCACCCTCAAGGAACCCCTGTAAGGCTTAAGTATCTACTATAAGGGTACCTGGAGCTTTTGGGATGGTAGACCATCTGCGCAGTGGACCCGATCGGGACATGCGCTCTCATTGCTTCCAGATGTTTGTGAGAGGTCTGTGCCAGACTGTGACGATGGCCTTCCAATCCAACAGGTAGATCAGAAAAGTGCTCTTCAGCTGATCCTGCACAGTGCCGCCACCATCACTAATATGCACGACCCCAGGTCACAATGGATCCATCACCAAGAAGGGCAGCAAAAGCCTTGTGACGAGCTTGAACCTGCTGAACATTCTTAAGCTGTTGTTGGACACCAGTACTGTCACCGCCACATTCAGCCTTGCCCCAGGTTATGACCGAACCATCGTCAAGAATGGCAGCGAAAGCTGCGTCAGATGTTTGGATCTGGTGCACATTCTGCAGCTGAGCCTGCACAGCACTACTGTCACCGCCTCGGTCAGCATCACCCCAGCTCACGACGGATCCATCATCCAGAATGGCAGCAAAGGCAAAGTCAGAGGCCTGGATCTGCTTGACATTCTTCAGCTGAGCCGGTACGGCGCCACTGTCGGCAGATGGAGCACCGTCTCCCCAGGTTACCACGCATCCGTCACCAAGAAGGGCAGCAAAAGCACTGAAAGAGGCCTGGATCTGCTGCACATTCTTCAGCTGATCCTGCACAGCACTACTGTCACCGCCGAGACGCGCATCACCCCAGGTCACAACAGATCCATCACCGAGAATGGCAGCAAAAGCCTGATTAGCGGCTTGAATGTGCTGCACGTCCTGGAGCCGCTCCTGCACAGATGTGCTGTCACCTCCACGGCCAGCACAACCCCAGGTCACGACAGATCCATCGGCGAGAATGGCAGCAAAAGCAGTGGCCGTGGCTTGTATCTGTTTCACATTCTTCAGCCGACCCTGTACAGCTCGACTGTCACCACCAAAGCGAGCATCACCCCAGGTCACGACTGATCCCTCACCAAGAATGGCGGCAAAAGCAAGGCCCGACGCTTGGATTTGCTGCACAGTGTTCAGCTGATCCCGCACGTCGCTGCTGCCACCACCATAGTGCCGATCACCCCAGGTAACGACGGATCCTTCTTCATGGTTGGGACAGGATTAAAAATGCAAGTTTTTATTCCTTACTGGGTTTAAGTACCCATAAACATGTAAAATGTTACCCAGCTATGACAAAGGATCCATCACCACGAATGGCAGCAAAAGCGCATTGAGTGGCTTGGACACACTTCACGTTCTTCAGCTGATCCTGCACAGCACTACTGTCACCGCCGAAGTCGGCATCACCCCAGGTCACGACCGATCCATCATCAAGGATGGCAGCAAAAGCAAAGTCAGAGGATTTGATCTGCTGCACAGCCTTCAGCTGATCCCGCACAGCACTATAGGTCACGACTCCGTTGAGAGCAAATGCTTCACGGCAAGTATCTCCCAAGGTCACGACAGAGCCATCGCCAAGAATGGCAGCAAACGCGCAGGAACCACTGCATATATGAACTCGCCCTAGGTGCAGGGTCAGTGAATCACCATTGTGCACATTGGAGACCTTTATTGGTGCAGATGCATCTAGAACGTTTCCGAACGAGTCCACCAGCCTCCCCGTTCCGACTCCGAGTGCGGTTTGCGCCCGACACTTCAAAGTTGCAACATCTTCATCAATCCCAACTTGCACGGTGACGGTCTTGCCGCTGAGCAGCCCGACTTCCACTGCAATCGTCGACATACTGGTTTAGGGTTTAGGGGTTTAGGGTTTAGGGTTATTATAGAAGCCAGAACAATGACCAACATCTATTAGCTCCTTGTTCTGATAAAACATGCAAGAAACTTCCTAAACCCCGTTGTTGCGATGAAGGCCGCTGTGCTGCTGCCTACTTCGAACGGAAGCAAGGTTTTACGATTGGCAGGCTCCTCAAGCCTTTTAAAGGGAAGAGGCTGTATATGTGTGTGCTAATTGTCGCCGTCGTGTTGTTGAAGAATGTAAACGGTTCTGCACATGAAAGCGCTAATTCGAACAATCACAGCAGTCACGAATTTCTCACACTGTCCTTCATCGCTCGTGCCCGAAGACGTCAACGAGGGCTGGGCGACATAATTACGGGGTCAAAACCAAATATACGGGCCTTAACATTTACCTATGCTACTTTGGGAGCTCCTTCGTATAAGTATAGTATACTGAGTCCCCAAACCCTATTCTAAATTCTAAGTATTAAGGCGCCTATATTGCTATTCTGCAGTGTTGCGGGCCGCAGGCAAGCTCGTCAAACTTGAGGCTCGGAACTGAACGCCGCCCTCAACCCTAAACACTAAAACCTTAAACCCCTTACCTAAAACCTGAAATCCCGAAACTTGCTAAACCCCAAACCCTAAACCCTCAACCCCTAAACCCCAATGATCTCAGGCTCCAAAAAGACTTCAAGACTTTGCTCGAAGGCTGAAGTCTAGGGGCCTTAATAATTAGAATATGAGGTTCCTTCAGAGTAACTTTACAGGGTTCCTGAAATGGGGATCTATCGGAGATACTGCCAGGGCTCTATGATATAGGGGCCTTAAAACTTAGAATAGGGTTTTGGGCCCATTAGACTATACTTGTTATAAAAGCAACCCCCCAACATAGTATTCGTAATCTTGAGCTCTCTAAACCCTAAACCCCCCTCCCCCCCCCAATATAGAGTTACACTGAAAGCCTTAAGCCGGTGAGAGGTTTAGGGGTTTAGGTTTCGGGGCTTGGGGTTTAGGTGTCAGCGCCAAGTCTTTTGGGGTCTTGGGAAGTTCCAAGATAGTCGCGGGGGCTAAGGATGGAAATCTTGCTCTCCGGCGTGATTTGTCCTCTACGAGGATTCCAAGAATTTTGCGTCCACCATAGATGCCATAGGTGCCAGCACACTAAGCCCAAAACCCAGCGGGGAACACCAGCAGACTCTCCGATGTACCCGTAACAAATATCGTCGCAGCAGAGCTCTGCTGATTCTTCTGACCCTGAATTACTCTGAAACTTCAAAGTGAAGGACTGTTTTTCTTAAGTGTGGAGTTCGGGGCTGCCCAAGTCATAAACTGACAGCGTTCTCGGAGTACCTGAAGGACCATGTGCCCACGTAGCATTTACTCTGGCCTTAAAGGGATTGCTGGATAGGTACTTTGGCGCCCAAGTATATATAATAATGAATAATGTGGTACACGGATACGCGGGTTCTTTCGGGAATCATAGGCACTCATGATTCCAGAGTAGGCTTACAAGCCACGTAATCATAGTCATCCCAGCACCCAGGCACAGACACTACTAAACTTGCAATAAGCTCACAGACCAAGCATACAACCATCAAGGCGGTCACAAACTTTAAACCCGGAAAGCCTCCGACTTTACTGAACCACAGCAAACTGCTGAACACCGAATCTCGACAGCGTACAGACCAACAACTTGTGTGAACCACGTGAACAATGCCAAGGGCACAACATCTACTAACAGCTTGAAAACCCTAAACCCTGCAACCATAAACCCCTAAGATACCGCAAACACTACCTCTAGGGTACTGCCATACGCTTTTTAAGGGTACCTGGGCACTTACTTTTCTATTCGACAGATCCTAGCCATGAACTATGTGCCCAGGGTTCCTGGGTGCGTACTTGTCTATTCAACAGATCTTAACCATGAACTATGTGTTCTGGGTTCCTGGATACGTACTTTTCTATTCAACGGATCCCAACCATGAACTATGTGCCCAAAAAGGGGAAAGATATAACCGTATGACACTCTCGGTCCTAATGAATGCAATTTTTTCATACTAATATTAATACTAGCAGTCTACTGGTCAAAGTAATGTTGAACCCTAAACCCTCAGCCCTACATTAGATTTACAGAGTCATGTTAAACCATAAGCCCTAAACCCCAAATTCCCAGTAGTAGACTCCGAAAATAGGGGACCCTAATATAGTACCCGAAATAGTAGGATCTTTACTATAAGGACACCAAAATAAGGTACCCCTAATTTTCGGAACTCTAAACCCTTATAGAGCCCTTTAAGAGAAATTGCCGTTAAAGTAACACTTTAAAGGAACCCCAACGTACCCCCCCGAATTTTCGGAGGCTCCCGTATTACTAGAGTCTAGGTCAACCCTAAACCCTAAACCCCTAAACCCCCAACCCTAAACTTGAAACCCCTAAACCCTAAACCCCTAAACCCCTAACCCCTGAACCCCTAAACCCCTAAACCCCTAAACCCCAAACCCCTAAACCCCTAAACCCTAAACCCCTAAACCCCTAAACCCCTAACCCCTAAACTCCTAAACCCTAAACCCTAAACCCCTAAACCCTAACCCCTAACCCCTAAACCTTAAGCAAGTGTCCTCGAGTCGACGCTCCAAGGTTTCCAAGCAGCTCCGAAGTTGCACAACCTCTATGCGGTTTACCCTTTAAAGGATCCTTAAAGGCATCTATAGGGTTCCTTAAAGGGATCTATAGGGTTTAGGGTTTAGGGGCTACTTGGAGGATCATGGGACTAGGTAAGTAAGGTTATAGGTAGCTTAATTGGGGATATAAGTAACTATTATTATAAGTATGGTTGCCTTATTTATAACCCTAGTTACTAAGTCCCACGATCTTTTAAGAAGGGCTTTGGGGTTTGCGGCTTGTCAGTGCTTGGGGTTTAGAGGTTTGGGGTTTTACGGCTTAAGGGCTTGGAGGTTTAGGGCTTAGTGCCTCGGGTTGAGAGGTTTGGGGGTTAGGTTTCCGGCTCAGGGGTTTAGCGCTTCGGGGTCTGGGGCTTAAGGGTTGGGTTGAGGTTGGGGGTTTTGGGCTTCAAGGGTTAGGGGATTTGGGGATTTAGCGGGCTCATGGGCCTACATAGGTTCCTTCTTGGAGTTCCTTTAAGGGCTCTCCAACGGTACCACAAGGGCACCATAGTTTAAGGCTTGGCTGCATGGACATATAGAGTATATGCATATTACGCGGTACGGTACCAATGTAGACTGCACAGGTGCATGAAGCTTTTGGGTGCGGTTTAGCGGATTAGGGCTCCACGGCGTGGGGTTCGGGGTTGGGTCTTCGGGGCTTGAGGGTTTAGGGTACAGTCCGGAGAGCAGGGCGTCGGACGAATCGGGGATTGTTTGATGTTTGCTACCCGCAAGGTACGCGCTGCATGTCCCACTTTTACTAACGACGAAGACTTCTACTACTTTGCCGCAGGTTACCCTGAAGAGTTCGCGCACCCATAGTAACCATATACTTTGTACAGGCACCCCTTCTACTAGACAAAGTAATTAGTACATGCTATACCCAAAGGCTCCATGTACCTTTATAGTAGATACTTAGGCCTTAAAGGGGTCCCTATGTAGGTACCTTAAGGCCTAAGTGAAAACTACAAAGGGTACATGGAGCCTTAGGGCTTTTGAAGAGTACATACACCGCTAGGGTACAAAGGACACATGTTCTACCCAGACTCCGAGAGGATCCCAAAAATTAGATCCCTTCATGGGGGTTCCCATAAATTACCCTTAGTAGCATAGGGCCCCAAATTAGGTGATCGATCCTCCTGGAGGTCTGGGTAGAACAGACCCATATGCCATGCCATCGGGGTTGTCGACTCATTTCCAAGCCCGAGATTCTCCACCGGGGTATCGCGCTCTCTAGGGTGTTACAAGAGGTTCTGAAGGGCGTTAGTACCGTGCCTTAAAAGGCGCAAAGGACTTGTTGGGGTGTTTTAGCACTTTGGTGGTTTCGGAGACATTGGAAGCCAGTGACTCCAAATCTATCTTAACATGTAAACGGAGCAATAACACCGATTAGGGTTTAGTTGGGTTGGGTGCCATTCAGGCTTGAAGGAGTAAAGTTCATATTCTTTTGCATATAGGGCTTATGGGGTCTAGGGCGTTGTGAGGTCTATGAGGTTTTTAGAGCTCATAGGGATTAGAGTTGGAATTTGGGTTTGGGCAGCTACCCTAAAGCTCGCGGCAAACTGAAAGGACATCGAGAACCCAGTGTCCAGACTCGGAGGTACCGGGCCCTGTTTAGGAGGCTCCCAAATCCCTACACCCTGAAGGTACTTGGGGGTTCATGGGACTTAGTAACTAGGGTTAAAAATAAGATAGCTATACTAATAATTACCTGTAACACCAGTTAAGGTGCTTATAACCGTACTTACTAAGTCCCATGAACCTCCATGTAGTTACCTCGATGGCACTTGCAACAACCCGCAAAAGGGAGCTATAAGGGTTCTATAATGGTAGGTTCATGGGACTTAGTAAGTACAGTTGTAAGTACCCTTAATTGGGATTAGAAATGCATATAAGTGTCGTTACCTTAACTATCGCCCTTGTTACTAAGTCCCATGAACCTCTAAGTACCTCAAAAAAGCGGCCCTGGACGACCACCACCAGCAGGTTCATGGTTCCTGTGGAACCACAACCCTGACAAGACTCTGTAGAACCCTGCCAAGCCCCCAAAATACGAATCTAACAAACCTAAAACAGCTCTAAGCAAAAGGTGTAAGACCCCGACCGAAAATTTGCAAGCAATGCAATGAACCACCACTTTGCGCCACATGGTACGATAGCCCGTTAAAAAAAGCCCACCTTCCTAAAAGTAGCCAAAGCCTTGTAAAGCCAAACGTAACGCTCGCATAGCGCAAAGGCCTTTCCAAAGCCTGACCAAAACAAGTCTAAACCTAGACCTAAGACTTACCTAGGAATAAAAAGGGTGCCCATTTTTGGTTTAAAGGGGTTTATCAATGAACCTAAGCCCTAAAAAAGGGAATAAAGCCAACTCTAGGTCCTCTAACCCCCGATGCGAGCCTTCTCAAGACCCCTTAATTAGAGGCTAGAACCCTTAAAACGGTAGGTTTTCGGATCCCAAGGAAACCCTTATAAAGGAACCCTATAAAAACCCCTATAGATCCCTTTAAAGGAACCCTATAAAACCCCTATAGATCCCTTTAAAGAAACCCTATAAAATCCCTGTAGATCCCTTTAGTTTAAAGCAACCCTAAAGGATGCTTTCAGAATCGAAAACTCAGGTGAAACGTATAGACCCTTAATATAGCCATGATATACCCATTATATAGCCCATTATAGGGTAGGGGTCCCCATTAAGGCTCCCTCCTTTTCCCCTTTGATATATGGGCACATGGAGCCCGAGACTTCCGCGCCTGGGACTCGAGCTCGAGGCCGCTACCCAAGGCCCCCCTTTGGAGGACCACCGGTGCCTCAGGGCTAGAACCCTTAAAGGACTTATAAGGTTCCTTAAAGGGATCTAATTATAGGGCTCCTTAAAGGGATCTATAGGGTTTAGGGTTTAGGGTCTACTTGGAGGATCATGGGACTTAGTAAGTAAGGTTATAAATACCTGAATTCGGGTTATAAGTGACTATAAGTATGGTTACCCTGTTTATAGCCCTAGCTTACTAAGTCCCATGATCCTGTAAGTAGAACCCTTAAAGGACTTTTTGGGTTAAGGGTTCAGTTAGGGGTTTGGGTTTAGGGTCTGGGGATGCTTGGGGATTAGGTGTGTAAGGTAGAGGTTGAGGGCTTGATGAGTCTAAAAGAAGTATAGCGTTCATCAGGGTTTATATAGGGTTTAAACAGGCTGAACCGACAGGGTCCTACGTGCTGTTGTGGGCAATAGATCGCCCAAACCATCATAGTAATATTCCCATGTAGCAACCCGGCATTCTACTATAGAGGTACGGTAGACCCTCAGGGTAATCATCAGAACAGGTACGGTTCTGTTGCAAAGGCTCCTGTAAATGGCTTCTGTGTAGGGGATCAACCGTTCTGTTCGTTTAAGCGGTACTATGGGGAATTGGTAAAGGGACCTTGAACATTCGAAAAGGGTTTTGGGGCAGATTCAACAATAACTACATAGGGGCTTTCGGGGAAACATCTTATTGCTCGCGATGTCTTTATTATGTGCGCTTTATGGGTTTAGCTTATGTTCGGGGTATTAGGGCTTATGGGATCTTTGTGGAAAATAGAGGACCCTAATACGGTACCGTGAATAGTAGGATACTCATTATAAGCCCACTATACGGGTGGTTGTCAATATTAGGGTCCGTTTTGGGATCCGTGTTATGATACGGCACCTACTATTTAGGTTGTGTTTAACCCTAGTTAGTAAGTCCCATGAATGAACCTCCAAGTACCCAGCCTGAACCCAAAGCCACAAATGGCTCCATAGATGTGAACACAGTGTCAGAATGCAAAGGCGCCAACCGGTTCTGCAACTTCGCGAAACGCTCCCACGAGTGGGTCACCTGATATTCGTGCAGAGTTTAACGGCTTACGGTGTTAAGGTTTGGGGTGTGAGTCGTGAGCTTTTTTCTATCGGTCCTGACCAGGATTCCCGAAGGGCCTGCGTGCCCATGCGGCATATACTTTCCTGAAACTCAATCAACCTACCTTTCCAAGGACCTGTGCGAAAGAAACATAATAAGGCGCCCGAAGAAAAACGTAGGTTTTTTGGGGGTTGAGGTTGACCCTAGAGTTCCTCTAAGGGTTCCTGTTGGGGCTGCTTTACGGGGTTCCTTTTCTTTAAGAGTTCCTCCACAGGACCCCCTTTGAAGCCAACTTATGTACCCTGTACCATACGAGTACACCGACCTTCTGGAATTGCCCGAGTTAGGCGAAAGGGGCCATGCGCCGATGTACGATGCGTTTAGCCTCAGAGTACCTACACAGGAACCCATAACGCAAAAGTATGTACCAAGATTAAAGCCTTACACGCTAAAGCTTAAAGCCTGGCCCGCAATCGAAAACAAATCCTATAAACCCTAGAAGCCGTATAAAACCGATAAATCCCATGGATCCCAACAACCCTATATATCCTATAAACCCTACCTGAATTACATGGACCTTGATGGCCCTAAACCCTAAACCCTAACCCTTAAGCCCTAAATCCCCAAACCCCACACAATAGTAGGTTATGACCCTTTAAAAAGAGGGTAGAACCCTTAAACCGGTAGGTTTTCGGATCCCAAGGTAAGCCCTAAACCGGTTGAGAAAAAGCTGAAAGTGCCGATCCTATACTCGAGACTCTAGTTTCTGAGATCTTCGGACATCGAACTTCGAGTTAAGGGTTCATGTGCTAGACCAAAGAGTAATCTAGGAATAAAAAGGGTGCCCGCTTTTGGTTTAAAGGGGTTTATCAGGGAACCTAAGCCCTAAAAAAGGGAATAAGGGCATACTCTAGGTCCTAGTGTTGCAAAGGCTAACGACTTAAGGGTTTAGGGTTCAGAGGTTGAGGGGTTTATTGGGTCTAGAGTTCATGTCAGGGGTTTAAGGTTTTAGGCTTCCGAAGTTAAGACTAAACCCCATGATCTCGGATCGAGGATTGATCAGGGTCGTGGGTTGAGGTTCCTCTTTCTGGTTCATGAGCGTTTAATTTAGGGCGTAGGGTTTTAGGACTATAAGTTTTGGGTTTGGGGTTTGTTGACCTATCATCAGTTGTATGGTACATGAGCAACTAAGGATGACAAGCTGACATTATCCATGCTGCACACATTCGCCAGGCTCTCTTTCGGGAAGTCAGTTTTTGTTTCCCGAACGGCTCGCGCAGGATCCAGTGGTCTCCGTCGTCAAGACGTCGAAGACTGCGTCGCATGCAGAAGTACCGACGACCGTCCTTCCGCGACACTTCCTTGACAGCATGCGGTCTGTCGAGGTACTCCTCCACCGTGGTACGACCTTCTTTCGGAAGAGAGGGCCCGGAAATCAACTCCCGATCCCATTGGGTGGAGGGAGCATCCACCATCGCCCTTTTGCGCCTCTGCAAGGCCTCACCTCGCACTCGTGAAAACTCTGTGAGGTTCTCGAGAAAGGACTGCACGGGCTGCTTCAAGGAAACGCCAGCCTTCACTTGGAGGGTCGGGGGACTTAGTAAGTAGGTAGTAGGTAGACTTATAAGTACCCTAAAAGGGACCCTAATTGGGGTTATGGTACTTATAAGTCCCTAAAATAACCACTTACTAAGTCCCCCGACCCTCCAAGTTCAGCTTGTGCCTGCACACACATGCTCGCACCCGAGGCGGGAAAACCTTGGAAACCGAGCTCCTTGACAACTACCCGCGTAGAAACGCAAACTGTCCCGAACCAAGTAATGCCCTTCTAAAACGATCAAGACTTCATACTTAACTTACCTTTGGTCAGTAGGGAATGGAAGAATGGTAGAAATAGTAGTTATGATTGTACCCCATTCCTCCATTTCCTACTAACCAAAGGTAAGTTGAATGCCTAGAACTGAAGCACGAAATTCTGAACCCTACACTGCCCCAAGCCCCTAAACCCTAAACGCGTAAACCTGCGATGACGAATTCTCAGAACTCCATGGGCACTGGGTCGAAAGCGGGCCGCGGACGCCAGGGGCTCCCCGAGATACCTTGCAGTCGAAAGTTTACGGTTTGGGGCTTCTTAGGGAGTTCGTCTTCAGGGTATGATAAACCCTAAGCCCCTCAAGTTGAGTCGTGTACGGAATTTTGGGTGTAGGTAGGGTTTAGGGGTGAAGTGCGGTTAAGAGGTTTAGGGTTTATTAGAACTTTTCAGAGTCAAAAGGTCCATGATGATCCTTTCGGGTACAGTCCTTTCAACGTGTTATGAATGAATGAATATATATATATATATATATATATATTTATATATATATTTATATATATATATATATATATGCACCTTGACCCTGAGAGAAAGGCTTCCAGAGACCCTAAACCGTAAACCCGAAATCTGAAACACTTAAACTCCCAAACATCACTATTCAAGTAACCTCGAACCCTAAAACTCAAACCCCACGCCCTTATGGTTCGGGGATGAATTTTTGTGTTCACGGCTTTCAGGTTCACTTTCTGGGTATCCTTTAACCCCAAATAACTTACTTTTAACCCTACCTTAACCTACCAAAACCTACTTTTTTGTAGGGTCCCTATAAATTCCATATTAGGGTTTATAATACGAACCTACAAAAAGGTAGGGTTTGGTAGTTTCAGGTAGACCCTAAAGACTGTTGTATGGAAATCCTCAGTAAGGAGCCCTTAACTACAGGTTTCTTTGGTTGGGGCTGCGGTGAGGGCTTCGGGGTTTGGGGTTTAGGGTGTAGGAGTCAGAATTTAGGGTTTAGAGTTTGGGTTTAGTGTTTAGGGTTTAGGGTTTTGGGGGTTTAGGTGTTTAGGGTTTATAAGCCCTGATGGGATAAACCGAGCCTCTTGCAATCAAGATGTGTGAAGATCAACTTTGCAGTCAGATAAACGAACAGTGCCCGTCTCAGGATAAAAACGACAGACGTTTGGGTTTTAGGGCATACCTGTGGATCCGAAAACCTACAATTTTTAGGGTTCTACCCTCTAATTAAGGGGTCATAACCTACTATTTTGTAGGGGTTGGAGTCACAGGTACTTGCACTTGTCAACTGCGAATCAAGCATCTGCGGCGGCTAGCTCCTGCTCACTGCTGCTACTCAGCTCCTTAGCTGGTCAAGCACAGTGCTACTGTCACCGCCGGCATGAGCATCACCCCAGGTCACAACAGATCCGTCTGCCAGAACGGCGGCAAAAGCGCTGCCAGTGGCTTGGATATGCTGCACATTCTTTAGCTGGTCCTGCACCGCACGGCTGTCACCGCCAAAGGCAGCATTACCCAGGTCACCACCGCACCATCACCGAGAATGGCAGCGAAAGCTTCGTCAGAGGCTTGGATCTGTTGCACATTCTGCAGCAGACCCTGCACGCCATTACTGTCACCACCAGAGGCTGCATCTCCCCAGGTCAAGACAGAGCCATCGTCAAGAATGGCAGCAAAAGCGCGCTGACAAGCCTGGACCTGCTTCGCATTCGTCAGCTGATCTTGCACAGCACTGCTGTCACCGCCATCACTATTCATACCCCAGGTCAGGACGATCCCATCTTCAAGAATGGCTGCAAAAGCCCGATTGCATTGCGAAGCTGATCTTGAACAGCACTACTATCACCGGCTTCGCTGCCCCAGGTCACCACAGAACCATCTCCAAGAATGGCAGCAAAATCACCCGTGGATGCTTGGATCTGCTGCACATTCTTGAGCTTGCCCTGCACACCGCTGCTGTCACCGCCAACGAATGCGTCACCCCAGGTCACCACGGACCCATCACTCAGGATGGCTGCAAAAGCACCACACGTAGCTTGGATCTGCTGAACATTGTTCAGATGATGACGCACGGCACTACTGTCACCACCATCCTGACCACCACCCCAGGTGACGACGGATCCATCGCCAAGAATTGCAGCAAAAGCGCTGTCATTGCCTTGGATCTGTTGCACGTTCTTCAGCTGGTCCTGCACCGCACTACAGTCACCACCAAACTCAGCATCACCCCAGGTCACGATGGATCCGTCAACCAGAATGGCAGCGAAAGCGCCACCAGACGCTTGGATTCGCTGCGCATTGATTAGCCGATCTTGCACAGCACTGCTGTCACCACCATGACTAGCACGACCCCATGTCACGACGGAGTCGTCCCCAAGAATAGCGGCAAACGATTCAAAGGAGGCCTGGATCTGAACTCTGCGCATGTGCAGGGTCAACGAGTCACCATTCTGAAGCTCAGCATCCTTGAGCGTCGAGCATGCATCCAGAACTCTCCCGGATAAATCCACCAGTCGCCCTTTTCCGACGCCAAGTGCGGTCTGCGCTCGAAGGCTTAGGGATCGCACCGGTTCTTCCCAGCCTGCTGTAACAGAAGCTGTCCTGCCACTGAGCAGTCCGACTTTTACTGTGATCGACATGCTGGCCGGAATAGACTTGCTTTTATGGACCACTAAGAGTAAATAGTATTCTTGGTATTTCCATCATCATGATTACTAAACTTCTCAAAGGCAGAATGGTGGCAGTAGTAGTAGTAGTAGTAGTAGTAGTAGTAGTAGTAGTAGTAGTAGTAGTAGTAGTGGTAGTAAGACTCTAAGCAAACGCACTTTTTCCATTCTTTGGATCAACGGCGCCGGATGGTCACAATCATGCATTCATGCATCCATGCTATACACTACCAGTGGTGTGGATGTTCTGAGTAGCATGAGGCTCACCAAAGGTGTGGACTCACATCATACATGAAACTTAACAAAGTCACATCTCGCAGCACCAGCAGCAGTAGTAGTAGTAGTAGTAGTAGCAGTAGTAGTAGTAGTAGTAGGAGTAGCAAGAATGAAGCTCGGGGCGTGTACGGGAAGGGGATGTGCATACATGGGCCGCCATAGACACATCGGGCTTCTCGATATGGCGTGCCGTCTTCACATACATGCTAATGACGCGAGTGTAAATGTCTAATAATCCTCGGTTGTTCTGTGCAGGTTATTCTGCCCCAAACAGGCCCAGGACTCACCCTGCTACGAAGGCTTCAAGGTTCGGGTGTCAGAATGTTGCGGCATCAGCCCTCTCCAGCCGAAGGCATAGGGACCCTTAAGGGGGTAGGGGGCCTTAATGCCTACAACAAGGACTTAATATAGCCAATTGAAGGAAGCATATAAGTACCCGACCCCCCTCCCCCCAACACCCCTAAGAGTCCTTATGACGAAGCCAAGGCAAGCAACTGGGTTGACTAGGGCTAGGGTGTAAGCTTCAGGGTTTGAGTCTTTACTTTTGACAAGAATTTCATCTCTGAGGGCATATCACCGCCCAAGGCTACAGTAATATGAGGGCCTTACAAGCACAGCAGACCAAACACGAAACTACGTTTAAGCCTCATTCCCAACACAATCAGACCAACCGGAACCAGGATTTTTATTATCTGTCCAGCTTAAGGTTCAGGGTGTACAGCTTTGGGCTAAGGGTTCAGGGTTCATACAAACGCATATTTACTGCTGCCGAAGACTATAAGCTTGCAACATGTGTATGTATTATATATAGACATGTATATGCAACATCTGGGGCTGCCAGGGCTAAGCGTCTCAGATACCTCTAAAGTTTAACAAACCTGGATCCAACTGTTCTGATTATAAGTGGAGAGACTTGCCTAAGTTCCTGAGCAGCCCCTTTATAATAAGGGTGCCCTTTTTTGTTACTATTCGGTTTTAGTAAGGGGACCCTAAAACAAAACGGGCAAAAGAGTACTACACAGGAACCTAGCTGCTCCACGCACGGACTGGAAAACAAAGGTGAGTTTGGGGTCTGTAGGGTTTAGGGTTTAAGACTGAGGCTTTGAAGGTTTAGAGGCTATTGCGCGGAAGAGTTTCGAATTCCAGGTTTGCAGAGGACTCCTGCTTCGAACCCGAGCGCCTGTTACATAGTTCCCAATCAGAGCAAGATAATGCTGTCTCCTGTATGTGTGTGGATAGTTCTGGGTAGTTCTGCAAATTAGGGTCCCTTTTCAGGTCACCCTTATGGCACTCTTATAAAAGGATCCCGAAAAGGGATCCTAATTTAGAGAACTATCCATGTGCTAGGTTCAGCGATTGTTTGCTGAGTTGCCGAGGTTCCGATACTGAGCCCTGCACCCTATGAGCTCGACCTTTAACTACCAAAGCTTGCTTATTTGCTGGCTCTCGCTATGAACCTGCAAAAGAATTTGCGAGGGGCCCTACAAAACATGTAGACTTTTGGCTAGATCAAGGTAATTACACCCTAAAACCCTATCACTTTAAGAGCTTTCATTGTAACTTTCTTTGGCCTCGTTGTTCTGCCTCCGAATCAACCACCACTAAAGCCTAGGTTGGCAATTCTTCAGGCACCTGTGTGACAACTTCAGTGCCAGTGCCTGTACCCAGAGAGTCGTATGATAAAGTTCTGGGCTCGCTGATGTCGAACGAGTCGGAATCCTAACTTCCATAAGCACAGCATTGCACAGGGAGTACAACCTAAAGCTCCAAAGCTCTGTACATCCGAAAACGCATTGAAGCCGAACCCCTGAACACTGATTATGAAACCCTGAACCCAACAACACTTTCAGCGATCCAAAAGGCCTACGTACCCCTAAACACTAAACCCTAAAAGGCCTAAACCCTAGAACCTAAACTCTGCAGAACTATGCCCTGAACCCTCAACCCGGAACCCTAAACCCTAATCCCCCTTAAAGGAAGCCCTATAGACCGCCTGTAAAGGAACCCTATAAGCCCCTATATATCCCTTTGAAGGAACCCCTGCAGTGACGAGGCCTGGCGGGCTCTTGCCGCGGCTTGTTGAGAGCTGCGAGGTTCGCCTTCGACAAGACTTGGAGGGTCGGGGGACGTAGTAAGTAGGTAATAAGTAGACTTATATGTACCCTAACAAGGATCCAAATTGGGGTTATGATACTTATAAGTCTATAAAATAACTACTTACTAAGTCCCCCGACACTCCAAGGACTCCAAGGATGATTCAGTGGGGGATTAATCCTACCGGGTTCCTTTAAGATTTAAGAGATTTATACTGGATCTACAGGGTTCCTTTAAGGGATCCATGAGGGGTTTAGGGTTTAGGGTTTGGGGTTCAGTGTTTAGGGTTCGTCGTATTGAATGCAACATGGTTTGAAAATGTCTTGCACTTTAAACTACAACATTCAACAATGACCCGGTCTGGGGTCTTGAACGATTTCCAATCGCTGGGTGACATCTACCAGAAAAGGGACCGCTCTCGGTGGCAGTGCTTGTGAGCAAATGTCAGCAACACCTGTTGCAGCATAAACGGCTGTAGTGACACTGTAGTGCTTCGTGTGAAGGCGGTGAGGAATGTGGCTTTAAGCCCTCAAAGCTTTTGAACCAAACAACTTTCTGTACCCATAGAACCCACAAGGTGTTATGCTAATCGATACCAAATGACTCCCAAACCCCAAGACAGTCGCACCATACCTCCAGATTCTACGCCGAGTGCGACCAACTTTTAGAACGGCACGGCATTAAGGCTCTGAACCTCTAACCCACCCCTTGAATTCTTCATCCTGGACGAGTGCTACGAGTTAAGGTTAAGGGTTTACGGCTTCAGGGCTTTATCGTGTTGAGTCTCGGAAATCGGGCCAAACTGAAACCCTCCAGCTATACGCCCTAGACCCTAAGCCCGTAAACTCTGTCTGTACATCTAAGCCCACCTCTGTCTGCCGGAGAAGCGCCTGGCACGCAGAAGTAAGTTGAAGTTTCCTTACCCCACTACCAAGCGCTTTATTTGCGGGTACATTATGACCTCGCCTGCATCCCGTATAACGCTAGTTTTGCACTCAGTAGGGAGACAGAAACAAGAGTGTAAAGGTTGTGCGGTTGAAGGCTCGGAGGTCCAGGAAACCTAAAACGACAGATATGGTGTCCGGTCTAGATTCTAGATCTTGTTCTCCTCTAAACCTGAAACCCTAAAATCTATATAAATCCCATACACCCTTAATCCTAAACTTGCTTTCTAGGGTTCGTGCTTCAAGGCAGAGGTCTGGGGTTCTGGACATGCTTCCTTTTCATTAATGGGGCTCGATAACAGAATTTCTGGGTACTGTTGGGTTCTATCACAGAGTTCCCCTTTAGAAGGCTAGAGTTTACGGTCTACTTGAAGGTTCATTGGACGTAATACCGAATGAGGACGACATGACATGCCATGCACAATAATTCGACACCTGGCACCCTCGCACGCCGCGATGAGCTCGCTTTCGGCTGTAGAGAGGCTCACCAATGATGGTCGTCTCGACTTCCAAAACACGCATCTGCCGCCCAAAAGCACGACGACGCCCGAGACGGACCTTTCCCCAAAGAGAGCGAAAGATGCGTCGGTAAAAATGGAGAGGTCTGGCGCTTTCCAGGTCCTTTAGTATGTTGCCAGCTAGTACCGGTCTCGGACGATTGCGCAAAACCCAAACCCAGGAACAAGAAAAATAGATAGAACCCCTACTAACACAGTAGCCTATCTTGGCCCATTGATATGCTGGTAGGATGGCTTGTTGGAGGGGGAGGGGCTCCGGTTTTGGTCGATTTTCGAAGGAATCTGGCGGGTCTGGCGAAGCCTGTCCCTGTAAGGGTCCATGTGCCAGTAATGCAGGATATACACAGGCCTCAAAACAGCTGCCATATAGTATATTACAGGCACTTTAGGGACAAAGTACATACTATCTGCTCACAGTAAGCCAGCTACTCCAGAAAGCGCAAAAAAACTAACAGAAAGCCTCATAGACAGCATTATCAACGCCCGTCATGGAAACAGGGGAAGCCCACATATTGCATAATAGGTACCTGCACCCTGCAGGGATGATTGGCACATGAAATCCAAACCCCAAACCACAAGCCCCAACCTCTGAACGGTAAACCCTAAGCTGAACCCTAAACCCCGAACCCTAACCTCTGAACCCTAACCTGTGGACCCTAAAACCTAGACACCAATCAGCCGGCAGCACGGCAATGGAGTTGACATCGAATGCTGTTCGCTGCATTCTTCCGCTCGCCTTTATCGACCTTTCTGGCGGCTGTTAACCCTAAGGAACTAGTATATGCTTTGGCCCCAAAGTACCTATATATGGACTACATCAAGGCCAAAGTATATACTATTTGGTTACATATACCCATAGGGTACCCCCAGGGAGTGGGTTTAGAAATGAGAAGCGGCTCTTGCCGTTTTCCCAGTGGCTTTCGAAGGTCCAGGTTTTGGTTGGTTGCTTGCTTGTTCTTACTACCCCAATAAGCCACAGAAAGAGAAAGGTTAAACTTTCCGACTCCTAATAGAACTCTAAGAACCCAAAAAACTTAAAGGTTAGGCATTGGGGATCTAAGTGTTTGCTTGGTTGATTTGGTTCTGTGCTGAGTTGGTTGTTTGGCTGAATATTGGATGCTCGGTGAGCAGAGAAGGGCCGCCAGCAGTTGCTGTTGGGGTTTGCTGTGACTGCTGTTGTCAGTAGAGGCAAAAAAGCAGCCCGTAACTTATGTTAACTGTATGCAACTGGAAATGCTTCAAGAAGAGATCCCAAGGGTCTACACAGCAGCTTCTCTTATGATGTAAATTGCGTTCAATGTGGGTGGTTGATGCAAATGCCGGGGTCAAAACAACAGACGTGTTCGTCTCTAGCAGCAGGTAGGAGGAGCCCCCCCTTGCAATCAGGACTTGGTCTCTGGCTGCTACTGGTTATGAACCCTAAGGCTCCATGTACCCATATAGTATATACTTAGGCCGTTTAAAGCACCTATATAGGAACCCCTTTAGGGCTTAAGGATCTACTAGGAAGGTATATGGAGCCTTTGGGAAAACTGGAACCCCGGCTGTTGTTTTGACCTCCCTCCTTTACAACAGCCACCGACCCACCTAAACCCTAAACCCTGAACTCTAAACCATAATCACACATTGCCATTCAAGGTATAAGATGCTGCAAACGATGCCGTTATTCCCTCTGGGTGCCTAGTTGAACAAGGGTTTCATGAAGGGGGTCAGTGGTGTTTAGCCGAGTTTTCATGGTGTTAAACAGACTTTCATGTATGTGGAAGGTGTTCAGCACGGCTTTAACGGCTTTGGAGTTGTGTGTATGGTATTCAGAAGGGATTCTGAATCCCATTAGGACCTGCCTAAATCCCTTTAAAAGCCCTTATCGACACTTTAAATCGCATTGACTGCCTAAACCTTTCTAAACACAATTTACACCCTCGTGATGCCCCTTAAAACGCTGTCAACACTCATTAAACTCCTCTAAGGGCCATCGAAACCATTGTAATACCCATTGATACGCGATTAATACGCATCAAAAACCCTAAACAAACCCTCCCATTTCCCTGAAAATGGTGGTGATGACTATTAACACTATTGTTGCGTGTATTGTTGCGATTTGTTGCTGTTGGGGACGGGAAACTCTGGCTCAACATAACCTAGGTTGGCCCCTTAAAGCCTCTGAAAAATATTCGTAAATAGGGTCCTACTAAGCACAATAAGGGAAAATATAAAATGTCCCAAAGGCCTACCTAGTAACGAACCCTGTGGGTCCATGCAACTGTAAGGTACGCTTTATACTCATGCATTAAGTTCCTGAAACACATTGGAAAAATCGCGGACGCTTCGCCCCGAAACTTCTTCCTAAACCGTGGGCAACTTCCAGGGAAGCTTACATAACTGGATGCCACAGAGGACGAAAACAAACTCTGGACCGGAACCCCCTGCACACAAACAAGCTTGTCTACCCGCGTCGGCAGGCCTCCAACCAAACTGAACACACAACACCGAAGCCGTAACCGTCCCCAGACCCTACTGAACCCCCTTCAGGTTAAGCACTCTGAGCTTGGAATCAGAAACCCTAGGCTTCAATCCCAAAACCCTGTACTTAACCGAAACCCAAAACACACGAAGCCCATGAACCCTGAAGCCGCAAATCCTGAACACTAAACCCCCTAAACTTCTGAACTCCTGAACCCTAAACTCCTGAACCCTAACCCTGCTGAGCCATAAATCCTAAAATTCTATACCTTAAACCTTAAACTCCTGCCTAGATCCCCCAACTACCCTTTGTTGTAGCCCCGAATTACCTCTTAATGAGATATATCAGAGCCCTTTAAAGTGTACTTGGGGGTCCTGGTGAACCCGGAACCTCCTGAGCCCTAAACCAGTCCAAAACCAACGCCTCGGCGAAGGCTTCGTCTGCCGATCGTGGAAGGCCGCTCAATTTTGTATGGATCTTGTACTCTAACCTGTGGTACCTTCTTGTTGGGTTTAGGGTTTAGGGTTCTTTGGGCTACCTGTTTCACATTGTAGGATTAGGGCTAGCCGAAACAAAGGACTGCTTTCTAGACTCTGCACGACGAGGCAAGACAAGCTTAGGGTTTGAAGCGTAAGGCTTGGGGTGTTGGGGTCTGAAGTTTAGGCTACATGATTGGAGATATTTTTCAAGTTCAAAGAGTATCTGCATGTGTGAAGTCTGCTTGTCTTGGGGCAAGCAGGTCGTGCTCTGGATCATGCCGTATTTCTTCCTAATTGCAGCGCCGAGCTGGCCCACAAAGCTACGGCAGCCTGAGATTTCCGGACTTGCTATCAAGCATATGCATGCCGACGTGCAGTGCCTTTCGAGACCACAGGGACGAAGGAGCGCACATGTTGCAGTATACACGCATGCAAAATCAGACTCCTGCAAATTCTGACATGCAAACCCCCAAAACCTGTCCCCCAAAACCCAAATCCTAAAGCGTAACACCTCAACCCCCATAGATCCCATATTAGATCCCTTATTTGCCCTACACCCCGAAACCCTAAACCAAGAGAACCTCAATGGCCTTCCTTGGGATCCGAAAACCCACCGTTTCTACCTTCTAAATTAAGGGGTCATAACCTACTATTTTGTAGGGTTTGGGGACACACGGTTGATGATATAAATCCTGCATTACCTTAAGGGTCCCTAAACTGTGGGAATTGAACATTATTCCTTATTATGGGTCATGCAGGATTTATATCATCAACCGTAGGTTACATTTTTGCTTGCTACCCATAGGCCCCGAAGTAGTTCCTTTATAGAAATCTAAATATGAACCCTAAAAAGGAACATGGCTAGGATCTGAATCTGCTACGTAGCTCCAAGCGCCTCGAGGCTCCCTTACTTGGAGGGTCGGGGGACTTAGTCAGTAGGTAATATGTAGACTTATAAGTACCCTAACAGGGATCCTAATTGGGGTTATGATACTTATAAGTTAGAAGCTGCCCCCACCCTGTAATAGTGACCATAAGTATATTTTAGGATTATGTTAGGGCCCTATTATATTTCTATTATACCACTATTACAGGGTGGGGGCAGCTTCTAACTTATAAGTCTATAAAATAACCAGTTACTAAGTCCCCTAAACCCTAAACCCTTATAGAATCCCTATAGATCCCTTTAAAGGGGCCCTTAAGGAACCCCTTAAAATAACTACTTACTAAGTCCCCCGACCCTCCAAGTTGTCGAATTTCGAGCCCGAGGCCCCCCCAAACAGCCCTGTAAGGGCCCTTTAAAAATTTCTTTTTTGGGTTCATAAGGGTTAAAACCCTAAACCCTAACCCCTAAACCCTAAACCCTAAACCCTAGTTACTTTAAGGGCCCCCAAAGAGCCCTGGAGGGGCCCTAGGGCCTTTTAAGGGTTCTTTTTCGGGGTTCCATAAGGGTTACTTTAAAGGGCCCCAAAAGAGCCCTCTAAGGGCCCTTTAAGGGTTCTTTTTGGGTTCTATTAGGGTTACCTTAAGGGTTCTAGAAGGGTTATATAAGCGTTACTTTAAGGGTTCACTTAGGGTTCTACAAGGGTTACTTTAAGGGTTCCGCCCATCCCCACAGGGCCCTACGGTAGATGATCTACGAGTCCTGCAGTACCCATAATAAGGAATATACCATTCACGGGCTCCTTTAAGGGATCTATAGAGTTTAGGGTTTAGGGATATAAATCCTGCAGTACCCATAATAAGGAATATATACCATCATTCCCATAGATTAGGGCCCTTAAGGTAAGGCAGGATTTAATAGCATCAGCCGTAGGTCTTGCTATTGGGGGATGCTTCCGCAAATCATAACAGTAATTTCCAATGAAGCCCGACATTCTACTATAAAGCTACTTTGGACCCTTTGGGTTAGTGTCAAAAACGCACGTAGCTGAACTTCTTATTGCTTACAACGTCAGCTAGGGCACTCATAACGTGTGAACCTTCAATAACAAACGTTGGTGCTCGATGTCGAAGATGCCGCAGCCTTTTTGTCTAGTTTACCCACTTGCGAAAATCCAGGCAGGATTTAGCACATTTGGGAGACCTTGATTCTTCAACCTTCGATTCACGCCTGTTCTCTAGGGTGTATTTCAGGGCCATTTGTTGTGGAGGATTATTTTGTATGCCCTCGCATTCGGTTTCGGGTTTGCAGGTATTTGAGAAGTAGGGAACACTGCTTAGGTCATAGGTTTGGCAATATCTCAAGCACATGGGATAAAGCTAAAGATTCCAAGCATTCGCTGGAACGCAGCTACATGCACATCACCCTGCGCAGTCGCTTTCTCCCGGAGCATCTGAAGCTGAAGGAGGCGTGTCTGGCGTGTACAGTTTACAATGAGACCCTCAAATCCGGTTGTGGTGCTTGCAGATTCTGAGTAGTTTGAAGACCTCTCTTTCGTTCATCGAACATTCGGGAGTTTCCAAAAATAGGGGACCCGAATACAGTACCCCAAATAGTAGGACCATTATTACAAGGACCCCGAAAATAAGGTATATACCCCTAACTGTCGAAAACTGCCATTCATGGTCCACGGTGCTTTGACCGACAATGGCTTGGTCGAGTCTCTCTCCTACTCAGGAATCGTATGCGATGCTAACGGATACCCCACACTGCAAAACCAAAGAGCGTAGGCTCATACCCTTCCGCTTTTAAGGGCGCCTACTTTCGCAGATAGCAGATCCTAACCATAAAACTAGGTACCCTAAAAAAGGGGTAGGGTATGAGCGTCTAGGTAAACC